CCATCCTATCTCTTCTCATTAATCAATCACTTACTTGTTTGGTACCTTTGAAAATATCTCTGTGACCCATTCTTCAAGGTTGTCCAGAGAATCTAAAAGATACATCAATACCGAGTAAATAATTATTCAATTTATAATACATCTATACATTACATTACATTCTTTTATCAGCAGGGAGGCATGAGTAAGGTGGACTCCCTTTTGAATAGCTTTTGCCACTGTGGATATAGTTACAAAAAACTGGACAAAAAAAAAAACAAAAAAACTGGAAAACATTTAAGTACCTTTTGACTGGACAGCTAATGTCATAACATTAGCAGAATAGTGCTTTCTGTAGAAATCCTGAAGCCTGGAGTAGATATCAATGCCCTGAGCTGCAGTATCTGTCTTAAGTGACTTTGAATTTCCCCACATGAACTTGCCCATTGGGTGACCTGGCTGGGCCAAACTGCCTAAAAGCTGTTCTTTTCTAGCCGAGTCGGAATTGAGGTTCATGTCAAATTCTAAATTTGCAAAGAAAAAAAAAAGTTGATTTGAAATAACTTTGTGATAAAACGTTCTGGCTGGTATCATTAATATGAGGCTGAGGTAAAAAAAAATTGAAAGTAACATTTTAAAACAGATCTACTATACATAATCTATCAACATTTTTAATTCAAGGTATTATGCTTACCACTGTCCACTGCTTTGATTTCCCTGTCAACAGCACCCTGTTTCATCAGTGGGGAAGTAAAGAACTGAGCAAATATGTCCAGAGCATGACGAAAATGCTTCCTTTGAATATCAAAGTAGAACACAGTCTGAAAATATCAAATTGTGATGAAAACATTTAATGAATGAAAGCAAGATGTTTTATAATATTAAATGTTGTTTTTTATATCTATGGAAAAGATCAGTTATTTACTAATGCATTCCAAGCACAAGATTCCTCAATATCTGTATTCTACTATCCAGAATTATTCCGGTCATTTTACTTACCCTCTCACAGTCTGTATAAGCATTGTCATTTCCACCATGCTTCTTTATAAATGCATCAAATGCATTTTCATCTGGATATTTTTCACTGCCCATAAATACCACTGAAGGCAAGAATAAAATATCAAATTCTCAACAGTTTTTTTTTACCTTGAACACATTACTTTTTTAATAACATAAACAATATTCTCCAGAGATTTGTGTTGTAACAAACTAGTAGTACATGTAAATACCATCAGAAACATTCACCCAAGTAGTTTTACTAATAAATACAAGAAGTGAAGGTGTAATATGATTTCAAATGGATATAAGTTGTTTTGTTTTACATATCAAAGATATCAAGCTCTGCTTGAGAATAGCTAGAAGTATCCAAGATCTCCTAATTAAACTTACTGTGTTCAAGAAAATGTGCTAGTCCAGGAATATCTGGAGGGTCTGAGAAGCTTCCAACTCCAATACATAATGCCGCAGCTGACTGTAAGCAGACCATGGGAATTTTCAAATAAAAAACAAATCACAAGATGTTCAAATATACAAAATAAAAAATAATAATATTGAATCACAATTTATGTTATTTAATGTGGACAATTTTGATCAAACTTTAAATATAGAATATGTTTTTGCATTTTCAGAGAAGAAAAACTGCAAAAACTAGAAAAATTCATTTTCGTCTCCTTTCCCAACCTATGCAAAAATAATTAAAGACTTACCAGCTTTTCACTATCTTTATGTTTGGTGTGGTTTGAAAAATCACCAGGCTCTTCAATTTCTTCTTCTATATCACTACGATCCCCATCTTCAACCTCTGATCCAGATTCCCCTTCACTTCTTTCACTGCCAGATTCTAAAATGAAAGTTGAAATTAATTCAAGCAAACATTCTAAAGAAAGGTCAAAGGAGATAATATCTATATACAAACCTGTGGATATCTATCATGGCTCTAAACTGATTCTGTATAAATGCCCTAAAATCACCAGCTTTTTGAAAGCAGTTTTATTTTTTTAGACAGCATTTATATGACATTTGTTTCCCATTATTTATTTTACATGACTGTATCTTTGAGATACTTAGGATATAAGCCTAAAAGGAACTTTCTTGATGTTTTGCTAATGGATATCAAACAATGTTACCATCACTTTCCTCCTCCTCATCCTCACTTTCTTCATCTTGAAGAACTGCTGCCACTTCTCCTGGTTTTAAGTCGGATATTAGCAAGACTTTGAGAGAGTTTGAGAGAGTAACAATTCTGAAGATACAAAATAAAACTTGTTATGTGGTATTACAATTGAAGGCGATTAACCAATGTGTCGTAGTTGACACGAATATTTAATGTTATCGGACAGTCTGGTTGACTCAATGCTCTTACATGTATTTAAGATGAACACATTTTGTTCAAAGACTTAGTGGAAAGAAATCTATTTTCAAATTAAGTCCGTTAAAGGTGTCTATCAACATCTACATGGGAATAAACAGTAAAACCACTGTGTCATCGTGTACTACATGTTCATCAATATGCATTTAGACTTTGACAACAGTACCTATATTGTCTGGTATCATTCAATGATTTCCGTATGATGGAGCCTGGTTGTTGGATGAAGGGGCAGTCGCATTCAGCACTGGAAGCCGAAGAAGTTTCTCCGATTGTCATTCTGGACCAAGTTGAAAATTGTCCGGCTTCAATCTTAGCTTTTTTGGGCGAAAGAGGACAGCCCGAATGCATTAAACTCCGAAATCTGTGGAAATATCGAGAGAGCATTCGCTTTCATAGATCATTGCATGTGCGTTCACCGGAAGTTGATACTATTGGTCAAAATGTTATAGGTCAACCAATCAAAAGGAAGTTAAGTTTCTTTAGCTTGGTAAAAGTGGGTGTTGCAAGTTTTTTTTTTTTTTTTTTTTCAATTGCCCTTCTACAAAATATGACGCTTGCAAATTCTCATTATAAAATTGTCGACGTCGGCTCAAGAGCGACGTCAGCAAGAGGGTGGCGCACGAACGACATTGGGAGTGTGTCCATTTTTGCAAGAAGTTATAACTTGTAACTTCTTGATTTTTGATTTTTCACGTCTGGTGTGCGTTGAGTTTTTTCTGTATTTTTTAAATTTCAAAATGTCTTTAAATAATAGAAATAACCGGTAGAGGGAGAAATTAAACACAAGAGAATGGCGGAGGCTTTTAAAAATTGGAAAAAAAAGGTGTAACATTATTTTTAGTTGTCTGGTGTTTTTGTAATATTTTTTAAAATTTCAATTAATTCAGTTACATCCACTATTAGCTAGACGGCATGGTGACGGGATAAAGTCAAATGTCTTACAAAAAACATGGCAAAACTGTATCTCTTAAAAATAACATTGGCAGATTTAGGGGGGTCGGGGGGGGGGGTTCTGAACTCCCTTCGGTTTCTGTAAAAATCACACTAATAGGCCTATTCCCCTCTTGAAATTACAATATTGACTAGATGAATCATAGTTCTAAACCATATCAAATGGCACCATTTGCCCTCCAAAACACCAAAATTTTCGGGACCCTGCAGCAGGCCGCGAGCCTGACGCCAAGGAGAGCGATGTTCGGTTTAGTATCCAAAGCCAGCCATTCCTAATAAAAACGCCACCTCCACCCCCTTTAAATAATCATGGATCCGCCCCTGACATACCACCTGTAAACTGCGTTCAGCAGACAAATGCGATATATTCTTTGCGGAATTTTTTTCCAAAATTAAAATGTTCTTCAAAATTCGCAGCGTCGCACTGGCATAGATGGTAAGCACGCCAGTTTTTACACATTTGAACGTTTTTTAATGGGGCCGTAGCGATAGTCCGAAGGTTCAATAGTCCGAAGGTTCATTGGTCCGAATGTTCACTATAGAACCTTCGGACCAATGAACCCTTGATTAAAAAATCGATAAAAATGTTACCACTTTTCGGACCAATGAACCTTCGGACCAATGAACCTTCGGACTATCGAGACGCCCCCTTTTTAATGATCCCCTCTTCTTAGGGGTTTGTTTAAACCAAAACCGCCCGGTGTGGACCGCCTTTGATTCCATTGTGCTCTTTAACGTCATAGGTACGTGAAGCCAAACTAAAGCTCAACATTAAACAAAGTTATAGGGAAAAAAGTAATTTGTTTAGAAACGCTCCGTGTCGGCTTCTCAAACAAGGTCTCGTGTACATCATGAACTTCAACGTTGATGATAAGACCATATTCGTCGACTGGCGTTGCACAGGATGAAATAGGTCTACATTTGCAAGACGATACGTTAGGTAGAAAGTTTCCCTTTGATCTGAAGCTTACCAACGAAGCTTCCGCGGCTCCCCCGTCTTGGACACAGCTAGACATTTGTACGCGGGTTCGAATTCTAAAATGTCAATGTTACATTTTTGCTAGAAATAATTTCTAAAATTTGCATTTAATTACTATAAAAGGTAAACGTACGTACGGATATTGGGCAGGGCAGTCACAGCGAAGTCGGCAGCGTGCACGAGTTCAAGTAGGCCTACCCGATGATGCATGACAGTCCGTCACGACTACGACATGGCCCCGGAATCGGGATGTCGCGAAAAAGGAAATTAATAAAGCAAATTACCTTTTGCATAAAAAAAGGTAGGCCTACATGGGCGAATCTAGGCCTAAAACGTTTTATTTACGCAAGTACTCTCTTACTAACAAGAAAAACAAAGGGGCTTCTTTCATTTATCGATTTGGCATGTGCTTTAAAACAACTGTTTTACTGCCAAGGTACAATACATCATGTTTTAAGATTACACTTTTCACTTAATTTTTGCGCTAAATAAAGCTAAGCTTTTTAAATTTAATGATAAATGTCAAACATTTAATCTTATGGCATTATCAACACATGCAGATGGATTTTCATCAGAATTATTAGCAAAACTAGTTAATCTTTTAAAGATAATAAAACAAAAGCAAAAACGACGCCGAAATCATTGGCACGTAGGCCTACTGTGCTGCCTCACCAGCAATGCATCGATACACAAATACACAGAAACGCACTTCCGTCTCGACCACTCACCGAGGTCGGACGTACAGGGCTCGCGACTCGACACAGTTTACTTCCCGTTCTTCGTATCGTATCTAGAAATTATAATTTGAAATCGGCCCGACGAGCTCTTGATATAGTCGATTTAGGGCCTACTGATAGTCTTCAAGCCTCTTCTGTTTATATATTACATTGATAAGATAGTATGGCGAATCGAACAAGGTGACAGGCGGGCGTGAGTGATTTACGTAATACACTGCTTGTCAGCATAGTTCACATCAACCTGCTGACTAGCTTACCCCAGTTTTCGGCCTTATGTGTCAGGTTCTGACCAGCCGTCGAAATCACTGCCTAGGTTAGGGTACGTAAATAATAACTTTTTTTTGTTTTGGAAATCTCTCAAGGAACGGTCAAAACGTTTATTTCTGACGAGAAATATGAGCCAAGAGCATTAGGCCTACTTAGGTTAACAATTTCACTATTTTTGGAAACGCATACAAAGTACCGTGTATGTGTACTACATACTGTATACCGGTATAGTCACTGCACGTATATACCTGTATTGAATAGGGCTGGGTGAAGCATAAGTTTTTGATAAGTAAGTGTTTTCTATAACTAAATATATTGTAGGGAATCTTCAAGTGGAAATCAGAAAGAATGTCTCTACAGGACTTGGAAGATGCCAGTGGCTGTACCAGAGCGCAGCTGATTGAATGGGAAGGAGTGTATTTCCCCTGCTACCCCGACATTCGCAAGAATCTTGATATTCTTCAGCAAATCCCTGTCCGTGACTCTGACACATTCCTGTGTGGTTTCCCCAAGTCAGGTACATGTACATTAATAAACCTACAAATATTGAACCCCCATCTTCCGGGTTCTGTGTTCAACAAGGGGGTATGCCTTATATTCCAAGGGTTTATTGTTCTGAGGGTCCCATATTCCGTAGATGGTAGGAGCCAAGTTAAAAAATTGACCGCTGTTCTGAGGGTTCGATATTCCGGAGGTTAGAGGGCCTGATATTCCGAATGACTTTTAAATAGTCCAAGGGTCCGCTGTTCCGAAAGATGATAGCTACACTTAAAGGCAGTATTATTACTTGCATGTGAAGAGAGGTGCTTTTAACTTACATGTTGCAACGTTTGCGTTAGTATATCGGGTATATAGAGCAATTCTTGATAGCAGTCTATACAATGCATGTTTAATTCCCAACTCCACTATGGCTTTGGAATAGCAGCCCTTTTGAGAAAAAACCTTTGGAGCAAAAGTCACTCAGATCAAAAACCTTCGGAGCAAAAGACCATCAGAATATAGATATGCACCCTTCAACGAGAGAGAGTGTGTGATTACCGTGTGATGGCAGGGTGGGGAAGCGTTACCCATTACCATGGCCACAGATTAATTATTTTTCTTTTTCTTTAGCATAAAACCCCCTCAATTCATGCACACATAAATTTCTTTTCTCTCTATTAATTGATCTAGCTTGACACCTTTCTTAAATCTCCAAAATTGTGTTGATGTTGCAAAATTCATAGGTTAAATGGACCCGGTGTGACAGGAATGGTGGTCCTAGGAATGGAAACCCAGGGTCCCATATGCTTAGTACAGGTTAACGTTAGTTGGAGTATTGAGAAACAGACTACTGTTCCTAGTGGACTTCCATTCCTGTTCCATCGGTACTTGTATAAATATGTTGAATTTTGTGCCTGTTGGGAAAATTATTGAATGTGCATTGACATTCTCTTTAAGGCTGCCACTGGACACTGGAAGTGATGCACATGCTTATACAAGGCAAAACTGAATACTACCCCCTGTCACACTTTCCACTGGCAGGCCTAAGCCATGAATACCTGGAAACACAGTTGACGACTCCTAGAATTCTGGCAGCCCATCTTCACCATAGACATGCTCCAAAGGATTTGCTCAACAATGCAAAAGTGATTTATATCATCAGAAACCCCAAAGATGTTGCTGTCTCACTGTACAACTTCTGCAAAACTTACCAATATGCAAAATTTAATGGGGAATGGAGTGATTTTCTCCCCATGTTTTTATCAGGGAAAGGTGATTGAAAATGTAAACATTTGTATTTACCAGTTACAAATTGAGAGAAAAGAGATACTGATAGCAATGTTAGTTTCATCATACAAACTATAAAAGAACTTCAAAATATTTGTTTACTTGCTGCAAAGTTTCTTGTTTTTTATATATATTTCAAAAGGTACTACATAGAAGTAGACTGTTTTTCTATTTAAATGAATTGAACCATCTACTTAGTTAGGCTTTAGAGTGATTATTAATATTATTATTTTGCAGTAATATATGGTAACTGGTGGGAACATGTTTTAGGGTGGAAAGAAGCGGCTAAAAGTAACCCTAACATTCTCTTTGTGGCCTATGAAGACATGATACAGGTATGCATATTCTGTTTGAGTTAAACATGATAATAATGAATACGTTGTTTAACATATTTTGAAAAGATAGAATATTGTTTCTTTTACCATTTTGATTTACAATAGGACTATCATAAACATTTGTTTAATTTTCAAGAACCTTGAAGTGGAAGCAGGAAGAATAGCAGAACATCTCTGCTTACCTCGAAGTAGTCAGTTCTTAAAGGAAGTTGCTGACAAGTGCAATTTTCAATCAGTGAAAGATGCCAAGTCACATACAAGATATACATTATTTATGAGAAAAGGCAAGTCTGCAAAATCTTCTCATTTGAAAAGGTGTAGATGTTTATTTAATCAACAAAGCAAAAATATCAAGGTTGTATTTATACAATGCAATACAAAATTAAATTAAGTGATTGTAAGGAGGTATCTTATGAAGGATATTGTCACCCTTTGCCCCAAACTTCTTATTTATTGTTTACATACATTCTTTTGGGTAATAAATAAATCTTCAGTGTTCTGTGACTAAATTAATTGACATTTACACATATTTAATCTTACGGATGATGTCATAATTGTGATTTGGGGGTAAAAACTGATACATCAGTTTCTCAAATTTCTCTTTTACCTGAGCACCCATGATCATTGTTCTCCAAAACCCTGCCAGCAATTTTTTTGAAAGTCTAAGTTCAGATTTTATCATCGATAAAGCAAAATAATGCATTCACTTAATGAAAATCTGCAATTAGGTGCTCATAACTTTATAACAAAAACATTTAAAGCAAAATGACGGCACAGGATTGTAGCCTATACACTCCTGGTCACCTCTGCCAATTTTCATGATAAAATCTTGTTCAGGGATGAAGTTATGCCCCATACCGATTTCTATCTTGCCTCAAAATAGAAAGGTGTTAAAGCTTTGAGTTGCCTATGCTTATATATATTGCAACAAAAAATATAAATGCCAATATTTTATATTTTAAAGGGTTTTTTCATTGTTTTAAATCAGCACAAAGATAGATGCATCATTCAATAATTAGATTCGGGGAAAAACTCATTTTTGGTATCTGGATGATAATAAAGGGTGACAATATCCCTTAGCTAATTATCCCGCAGTTTGGTTTTTGTTGCACGTTTTGTTTTCCTTGTTTTAAAATTGAAAATATTTTGATCCTCAGGTGTTGTGGGAGACTGGAAGAACTATTTCACTGTGGCCCAAAATGAAATGTTTGATAAAGTACATGAAGAATACATGAAGAATTCAGATATTCAAGTCAAATTTGAAATATAATTCTCCTACAAGGAATAATTATTCATTTAATTTAAATAACTGTAATATCAGATTTGAATTTTACTTTTGTTCTACTTAAATGCCAAAAGTACTTTCTTGCTGCTTTTTAGAACATTATATTGCCAATTTATTTCACTGGCATTTCCAGTCAAAGGTCTTGTGTTAGATTAATGTAGTAGAAATGCATGCACACACATAATAATGATGATATGTAGACACCTTTATTCTTCAATTTTTAAATCATTGGTATATTTTGCTCAATTATTGCACTTATTAACACTTCTAGCAAAACAATATCTAAAAATGTCTTAAATGTAAATATAATTGCACTTCTTTTAAAGATATCGATATTTGTATATGGTTTAGCTATTTCAAAAAAGTTAAATGTGTATCTGTTTTAAGATATGATTTTGTACTATCATATGGACGTTACATCACAAGCTATAATAACTAATGATCATCGCAGGATACAGGCACCTGCATACAAATTTGCAAAGTAAAAATGTATGAGAACACATCAACTAAACATTTTTGTTTTAATCTGTTTGGAATCTTGGGATATTATTTTGAAATATTTTAAAATGTCATACAGTTTCATGAAGTTGAAAGAGCATATCAATGTTGTGGTTTCTATAAAACCTGATGCTGAGGTGAGATGTATGGCCTCTGGAATATTTGTGTTACTCTGTCTTGTTCCTGCCATTTTTGAAAAACCTGGCAATTAAAAAAAATTAATTCATAAAAATTCTCATTTAGGAAAAGATCAATACAATATATATCAATAAACATATCTTTTATTGATTAATGTAGATTGTTGAATTACAGAGTTTTATTATGCAATTATTCCAAAGTACTTATCCCATCTGTGATTCAATAATTTTTCACTATTGCCTCTGATGTAGCTCAAATTTAATTTAGCTAATACAGTAAGTATGAAACAATTACATTTTCAAAGATGTACATATCTATCTTGGACCTTACCTGATCCCAAATGTCTGCTTTCTGAGGGTGCTGTGTACCTTTTTGTAACTGCTTGTACTTTTGCTTCTTCAGACCTGAGTAAGTGTGAAAATAAGATCAAATTAGAAAATAAAATACAGCAAGTACAAAAGTGAAATAAGACTGCACATTAGCATTTACAATATTCAAACATATTTGCACAGATAGTGATGGCATGCATACAGAATTCAAAGAATTTGTATAGCAGGTTTAAAATAATTCCACTGTCCAAAAGTGTGTCCAATAAGCAAACTAACCAAAACAAATTAAGTTAATCAAAATTCAACAAGACATTTAACTAATATTTTGGCATTCATCAACAAATGTGTGACAGAAACCAAGAAACAATCTGCCTCAGCGACTCTTTTTTTTTTGTAATTAATTGACAGTACACAATGCACTGTTGATTGAAGATACAGAATATTCCTGTGCACTTCTACTGTACATGTAGCTGCAAGCGCTGTTGTGATCTCACTGATCCTATGCAATAAGTTGAACTGAAACAATATACTTGCCATGCGTAACAGACTTCAGTGTCTGCCCCACCTCATCTCTCAGTAATCCAGTGGTCCTCCTTGCCATTGACATCAGGAGAGTTGGACCCCCATGTGTATCAAATAACTGCCCAAGCCTGTCATCACTACTCACCAGCATCCTTGCCACTATCAATCCTTCAAAAAATAAGGATAAAGTGAAATTTTCTATAGATATAAATCTCTTATAGAATCAATATTTATAATTTTTTTATGAAGATGTTATATGTAGTTTACAGTTTTAATAAAAGAAATCACAAATTTCTCTTCCTTTAGACTAATAAGATATTTATATTTATTAAATGTTTGTTCAAAGTTATGATATAAATAATATACAGTAAATAAGAATTTACTGGTATTTACCCATAACTTCCAGTAACTCATCATCATCATTTACCCTAAGGAAGTCGACCATTTTTTTCATCACCCCAAGATGAGAAAGTTGCATTAGTATCCATGTCTACAAAAAAGTAGATTTACATATATATAAAGGTACAGCAGCCACTAGTGTAGAGAACCAAGAATTTAATAACGTCACAGTCTGACAAAGCTGTTTCAAATTAATTTCCATTGTGAATACACACACTTGTAAACTTATAACAGCCACTTTAGTTCTCCCTTAATACAGCCTTACATCTTCAAGTTCAACTAGGTCCTTCATAAAGAACACACATGTCTTCCTGACAGCCTTGTGCCTGCTTGTAAGACCTTGCACTATATAAGGTCCAATTTTCAACACTAGGCCCCTTTGGCACTGCTGTACAACAGTTTGGGAAAGATCAAAACTTGGCTTCCATGAAATCGGTTGTTTCGGAGCTTGCCCTGCTTTGGGTGTTTCTGATAAAAAAAAAATCATTTAAACACAATAAAACGTAATGGGATTCTGTTGACATCTCTGCTATGAAAAAGTCAAATTAGAAAGAATAAAATTATTCACATGTTATTCTATCTGACAATAAAACAAAAACGTGTATGTGCAATATTATGAATAATATCTAGCTTTATGAAAAAAAAAAAAAAAGAAGAGAATTATGAAAAGAAAGTCCCAATATTATGAATAGTATCTAGCTTTATGAAAAAAAATAAGAAGAGAGTTATGTGTGAGATAATACACTGTCACCCGAGCGATATATGCCATAACACCTCGAGCGTCAGCGAGAGGTGTTCATGGCATATATCGCGAGAGGGTGACAGTGTATTATCTGACATACATACCGAGAAAAAATACAGTCATTTCATCCTAAAACACCCCTAAAACCGAATAAAGTGACCCTATATCATGCTCTAGAGATGTTATATGAAATAAACTCGTCCACGTGCGCTGGTCACCTCCCACCAAATTCTTACGTAATGTCTGACCAATTTGGTCAATTTTTGCTAAATACTTGTCATGGACGTTCAACTGGCGTGAAAAGTATTAAATCAATCGTCGACACTGACCGTGCGCTTCTCAGCTGAGCCACACCTAGCTGGGCCTGCTGCAGAAGGCAAAACCTCTACTTTTAAGTGACATTTCTGATAAACAAGGAGTGTCGGACCGGAATATAGTCAAACTAATTTTTCACAAATACAAAGGAGAAAGAAATTTACTTTTTGGTGATATTTCTGACAACGAGGCAGTTTCGGAATATAGTCAAAATCAGACGGATGTTTATTACAAGTTCACGGGAGTAACAATTCTAGTTTTCTATTGTTATTTCTGACGACGAGGCGGTTACGGAATATAGTCAAAATCAAATGGATGTTTATTTCAAGTTCACGGGAGTAATAATTCTAGTTTTTATTGTTATTTCTGACGACGTGGCGGTTACGGAATATAGTCTAAAACAAACGGATGTTTATTTCAAGTCCACAGGAGTAATAATTCTATGTTTTGGTGACATTTTTTTACTACGAGGCGGTTTCGGAATATGCATGTGCTGGTTTTCAGAGCATGGAGCATGCTACATGTAATTACAAGTTCAAAGGGGGAAATATTTGATTTTTACCGATATATCTTATAAAGAGGAAGAATAAACAGCTTAAAAACAAAAGGTAAATAACACAACCCTCGTTAAAAAGTTATAGATTTACAAATAATTTGTATGCACGTGTGGCTGAAATGTAAACTAATTCCCGTTTTCAAACCATAGGCCTACCCATATGATAAGACTTAGTGTAATAAAGTTATAAATGAATGTTAAACATGAAATGTTTATGCTAATTTTTTAAGAGTGTGAGAGATTTTAAATTTGTCTACTGGTAGATATATGACGCAAGCAACGTCACTATTCTCTTGATGCCAAGAAGGTCACATGATCAATCTGTCTTTGACTTCCAGCATTTAAGAGACCTCGACTGATTTAACCAAGATGTAGTCGTGAAATTCTAGACTACATCGAGGTTAAATCCGAGTTTTCCGAGAGGCGCTACGCAGAAATGTCGAGTGAAGCGAGATATTTTTGGGTAGCGGCTCGAGGTTGCACTGGATCTTCACTGAAGCTTGTCTAAATGGACAGGCTTCAGTGATCATCATATCGCCACGGTCATATAACATCCCTAGGTATGTATGAAAAGAAAGTCCCAATGTACAAAATCACCTGTCATCATTACCGCCTTTGCACTTGATGGCCGTAGTTTTGCTGATGGTTCAATGAGTTTTGACAATGGAGAAAATGCAGCTCTTGGACCTAGTGCTTCTCTAACCATTTCAGCAACCTTAGATGACATCTGTTTTAGAGCTTTGTTCAGAACCACTTCTTGATCCTTGGGTGTTGTAGCTGACACAGGTCTAAACAATTTAAATAAAATCTTGTTTATAAACAGTGAAAAGATTAATTTTCAACTTGGTTCCAATACATTTCTCACTACGTTTTGAGGAAGCTGAAAAGCACTTCTTTATGTGTCTTAAAAAGGAAAAAAAACTTGTTGTCACATCAAGTCTGAATAACTAAAACACTGAAGTGCAGACAAACTAGTTAAGGGCATATTTGAGAGGAAAGCTTGCCCAGTCCTAATATGTTCATACCTAGTTCTGGACATTCTGTCAGTTCTCTTATCTGTTGGTGGGTGAGGAAGATGTTTCTCTCCTAATGACTGTATCATGTACCTTAAGATATCTCCGACTGGTTCCTTGAATGATTATAAAATACAGATGTTCTGAATATAACTGCAAAATAATGTTTTCCCTTTTATTTCCCTTTTAAAATTGCAAAATTGAAATTATCATAACCTGGATATGTGAATGTAACGGAATAATTTTCATCATGCATATGGTAACACATACAATAGTATAGTGTTTGTGCATATGGTATGCTATTGTTTTCATTATAGCAAATTTGTGTCAGATAAAATAAACTTTTAGATTGCGTAACACTACTTCAACCTACCAAAATTTCAACTTCATTTGCAATTAACCATGGTCCCACAGCTTCCAAACATCCCCTCTGAAATAACATTTTTCTAGTGTTCAATCTCATCAAGTCCATCTCTCTTTTTATCCTCTCATTATACTCCTGCTCCAGTGTAACTAAGGGGTCTCTATGTAGAGTGCAGGAGAGAAAAGGGTTCTTAGGATCCCAAACTTTATCTGCAATGCTGGGTCTCTGCATTTTTCTCAGAGAATCTTTTGTTTTTTCTTTCAATCTGCCAAAAACATCCGCGGTTTGTTGTGGCGTCAGAGGCCTGGCTGTAGGACCTCTACTGGAAGGCCTGTTGGAAGTCACTGGAGCCCATGCTTGGGTTGGATATCCTGGGTCGTCAGCTCCAGCTTGTGCATTGTTCAGAAATCCTTTAGCTTTACAAGTGGCTTTTAATTTATGGTTGAGCATCTTAAGCTTTATCTCCTCTTCTATGCTGTTAAAACATGTTGTGGATGAACATTCTGCAAAATGTTTAATTGCACAAATAAGGGATATAATAAGTCCTTGTTCACTCTCTTCATAAATTTCTTTAAAATTGCACCTTGGATTCAAGAGAAGAGATGATGTCTTTTTGATTCCTTGGACACTGTTCTTGCCTGGAGGTGTACCTTTGACTCTCACCCTGCTCTGTCCATTGGGAGACTGCCCATTACTCTTTGGAGGGCTGCTATGATTAAGAACTTTTGGCTCTAAGAGCTTGGATGTATAGGCATAAAGTAAGTCTATGAGACACAACGCTCCAGATGCTATCAATACTTTCACTACACTGTGGTTAACTTTCCTTTGCTTTTTCCTGAAATGTTTAACAGAATATTTTATCTTTCATTGCAGGCACTATGGTTGTTCTAAATTCAAAGATATCATAGTTACATTATTACTCATCTCTTTGTGTACAAGTACACATAAGGCAGCTGATACATACATAATTGACTTTCATCATATTTATAACTAATTCTTTGTAAAATTTTGTAAAGTTTTATTTATACATTCTATATAAAGATGCATGTAAAATTTGGTATATGTTGGAAACATACTTAAAATCTCCCACATCTACCACAGTGGGTTCTTCAGATGTGGTAGTCTTTGGTCTGTTTAGTGGAAACGTGGCCAAGTTAGCTATGATGTTGACATGATTCTGCACCAGCCCTACCAGAGTGGGATCTGTGTCTATGCAAGGCTTTAGAAGAACTGCTTGCACTTCTTTGTGAGGATCCATTTCTATTCGAGCTGAAATACAAAGAACAAAAGGCTTACATTTTGTTATCATTTTAGATTTTGAATTATGTACACATAAAGCTTTATAAAGTTATTGCTTTATTCAGCATCAAAAATGTACTACAATATTATAAAAATTAAATATTTTTTATATTCCACCTATTATTATTATTATTACCTTCTTTGCAAAGTAAATATAGAGAACACTTGGCCATTTGCTGAATTGCCTGGTTCACCTTGGCTGTAGTTTCTGTCTTCTGTTTAACAGGTTCAGGGGTGGTGGGCTTGGCCTGGGGAGCAGTAACATTGTCATCTAGCTCTGCAAGTTCTTCACTGTCACTGCGGAAATATTTATTCAGTTGCAGAAATGTTGATCTTAGGAGAGCGATTTTCTTTGTCGATGTTAAAGTTACCACCACTCTGCTTGCTGCCTCTCTTACTTTTCTGAAAATTCCAAATTCTTAATTTTATTTTCTAATTCAAAATCAATAATAGGGAAATATCACCTCAAAAAACAGAATATTCATAATCTAAATAAAAAAGTATTTGCTAGCTAACAATAAGAGCAAACCAACATCCATTTGCAATGGACCTGTTAGAAACATCACTATCATACTAGTAGGTATATACATTTTGCATTATTTTATCTATTACAGGACTCACTGAGTCAATGTCCGTAAAGATGCCATTGTGCCTGGGGCATCTTACAAAACAAAATTTTATGTGCATAAACTTGGAGTGAGGTTTTTAATGAAGCCTGCTAAGCCCTAGGTTTTGAAGAATAAAAGGATGAATGTGAAAGACAATGCAAAAAAAAAAATCAAATGTTGTGTATGGGATTCAGTGCAATGTTTCCATACTTTTATAATTATGGGCTTATTAGTCCAATTATAGACTTATTAAGCATGTAAAATGTATAAGAATATTTACATTGAACGGATGATTGTTCATTAACTTATCACTATCATTAAAAAGGAATTCATATTTTTTTCATTTTGACTGAATGGTTTTCATCTCACTGTCTTTTCAAATACAAATATGAATGTACTTAACCATTTAGTAAAGTACTTTGAGATTTTTATGGAACGCTCCCCCCCCCCCAAAAAAAAAAAAAAAAAAAAAAAAGATTATTATCACTATCAGAATCATTGTCATGAGCACTGCACAACTAACCTGCAATGAGATTCTGTCATGCTGCCCATTACAAATGGCACCATGTCATCCTCCAGGAATGCTGTTAGGCCATAGGAACTTTGACAAAGTGCATGCAGAAATAACAGGGCCTGTTTTTGGGAGCCACTGAAAGATTAAAAAAAAGCAGTAGAGGGTAAAATTATACGAGGATTTTCATTATAAAAAATTGTGTAATAAAAACTTTTTATCATTTGGCTTTCATAAAAAAATTATGTTTCATGCAATTATTAAAAAAAAGAAACTAAAAAAAAATTAATACAAGCCTAATACATTTTTGTACATGATGATATAATAAATATATACAGATAATATAATAAAATATTTCTAATATAGATAATATAATAAAATATTTCTAAATGTCGCCTTCTTACCATGGTCCATTCCTTATCATGTGTGTACTAATGGGCAAAGCATCAGCATCAAGCACATGAGCACGAGTGTGATCTGTGTGCAGCACCAGGTTGGACAAAATTTCTGGGAATAATTCCTATAATTATATATGCAACATTAATTGCATATTTATTTTAAGGGTTTTGAAATATGAGTTAAAACAAGATTTTTTATAACTTTTGAAGTAAATACTGATTTTTCATAAATACTGTTTTTTAGTAGCTCACAATAATGAATTTATCAACTTACACTGCTTTAAACTGCAATGCACTCAACATGAAACATTTAGTTCACTTGTACCCAATTGCAAGTACTAGCAGATTCACATGCCTCTAGAAGGATATTTGTACCTCTGGGTTACCAAATGAAATGCAAAAATTCACAAACCTCAGTTTCTAGGCTTAAATCTTTGGCTCCCATCACAAGTGGCATACCCTGGTCAATAAGCAATATAGCCAAATGTCTGTATTTGACTAGGGCATTGACAGTACTCAGGGCAGCACAGATAACATGGTCAGGATATTCTGGGGTCAATTTTTTCAATACAGCAGTGAAGCCAGCAGTCACCATCATTTCCATCCACTGGTCAGACAAAGAAGTATGACCTACCAGCTTTCAAAAAGAAAAAAATTGAACTAATTAGCATTTTGGATATGTTAATTAATTTGTATGCAAAAAAAAAAAACTACTTGTGATACTAATCTGAACTCTAACAATGTCCTCTCCTTTCTCTTTCTTTTCAATGTTCAATATGATAGCATTCCAATCATGACTGAAAAATAAACACTGATTGGAGAGAGTAATCTCAGAAAATTCAAATGAGCAAATTGTTTTTAATTCTTACTTTTTCCACAACTAATAGAATTGCCTCGTGTAACTCCTCCATAGTTTGAAGTTCCAACCAATACAGCAAATTACCCATAAGACCCTGCTCCAGGAGTAGTTCTGCATTTTTCACTCTGTGACACACTTGTCTGATCGTCAGTAAAGCACCTTCTTTCACAGCCATTGAAACATCCTCATTAATGTATTCAAGAACCTAACACAAAGGCAGAAATAGTAGAATGCGTAAAAGAGAAAAATAACATTACTGTGGTATTTTATCTTATAGGCAGTAGTATACAATGTAAAAGACCCACTCCCCTATCATACTGCACTAGTACCAGAGAGCTTAAAATGTAAGATTAATGTCTTACCTCATTAAAACATTCATAAAGTTTTCACCACTTTTTGTGAACAAAATGTCTTAAAATACATACATAAATAATAACTGATATATAATTAATTTAAGTATTTTACCCATCAATAATATGTCATTACTTTATTTAACTCTGTTTGTGGCACATTTTCATCACAATGATAGCTATTGGCAAGGTTCTTTATCACAGTGCTAGCATGCTGTACATGAACTCCTTTCTCTGCATAAACTCTCAGCATCTTTAATAGCTGTGGCAGTGTGAAATCTGAAAAAATATCAATGATTCAATAATGTTCTCTCAATTCCACTTAAGTCAAATTATAATTTGGTTATAATGAGCTACTGTATACCTGCAATAACATGCACACTCACTCAATGTTAATAGCCAAAAGGCAATAGTTACGTGACTTTAAGGAAAATCAATACAGCTCCCAACTGTAAACTATCCTTAACCATAACTAAGACAACTCTACATTTTGTTCAAACAGGTCTTTGATTTAGTAAAATCCAGTTCCAGTTTATGAGGGTTTGTAAAACATGATCTTTAAGCAATCCACCATTTTTGGTAAAGATAACCTCATGTTTTAAGGTCCTTAAAATTCAATCTCACCATCCTCATCTGAGTTTTCAGAGCTGGAGTCATCACTTCTGCCATCATCTTCATCATTGTAAATCTTAGCCTTCTCTCCAGAGAGATCCTGGGGCCTGATCTCACATGAGCACACTGTGTGAACCAGCTGTGGAACAGACTCAGTGATACCATTTAAATCTTCTAATCTTTGTAGTATGTCTGACAATTGTTCATGGTCCAAGTCTCTGTTGAGATAATAATAATAATAATAATAATAATAATAATAATAATAATAATAATTCAAAAGGTTTTTCAGGTACAGTAGAGTATGTCTGTAATATGAGATACAATATCAAAATTTTCTTTATTGAAATACAGCATGTTTATGGTGCTGTTCCTTGTAGTCATGAATTAAAAGTTCACACATGCATATGTACTGGTAGATGGAGTCATAAATTCTTATACTTTAATTTGAAAAACTCTGAAAATGGCTCTGTTTTACTTTAATAGATAATGACAATGACCCATATTGTACACAGGTATCCCAACTGTACATGTGTACTAGGATAGAAGATATTTTGGGTCCTAGGTATGTAATATCAAGACTTTACTCTTCATCCACTGGCACAGCAGCAGTCTTTTTCCTTGTTACAGCATCTCCTTCAACAGTCAGATTTTGTAATGGATTCACTGCTGCTAAACTGGAGTTCAGATCCACAAACACTTGTCTTACAGGATAGTCCTGTTCCATGTTATCCTGGTAGACATAGGCTCTGGAATTCTAAGGATAATGCTACTTTTTACAAACTACAGCATTCCGTTCTTGATCCTCTATTGTATATTCATCATTTATTTAGTACAATCCCTTTTATAATGATTAAAAGTGCTTTATTCATTGCGTACATGTGACAATAACATACATGTATCGGTATGTTCCTTTTGGGGGCTGATGAATTATTATTACTCATGGTTCTAGGAGAGTGAAACTTTGATACAAACTTCTTCATTTGGGACCCTAAAATAATCAATCATAGTTTGTAATCTGTGTCCTTAATATAAGATGCCCGTGAGCTCATTTGCACCTCTACTGCATGTATTGGGTTTGGGTGTTACTCAGGAGCAAAACCATTTTATCAAAAGTCAGTGGTGTTGTGGTAGCCCTGAATCGGCATCTACAACTTTATTATACGAGCTACAGAATCTTTCTTTAATTATGCATTCAATCTATGAGAAGGTTACAACCCCAACTGTGCAAATGAGCTGGTTAAGCCTCGCGCATCTAAGGCCGAAAACTGAGGCAAGAATCAATTCTCTTTTGCCCCGCTGCACTTGCACTTGAAAAAGTAATTAAGACTCGTGTAATGAAAGTGGCAACCTACTTACAGATATTTTGCTCATATTCAATTCTCTCAAAAAACCATCTCCAATTCTTCAATTCATGGACAGCCAATCATAGCTGGAGGATGCCTGTACGTTCTCATCACCCGCCATTTTGACGCTTTTGTGTTGCTACACGCTTGACCTACTTCTCCAAACACAAGCCTCGTTCCCGGTCCCAATTAATTATTGAAATTTACTTGATTTTCTTACATGTAAAAATGTGTATGTGGATCGGGAGAGATGTCATAAAGTACATTTTTGTTGAACCAGTAATCTAGAATGGAAACATATAATGTTCCACCAAAACTGCTCTATTTTGACAAATTTATTGTTTCAATTTATAACATTTTCAAAATTGTTGAGGGGGGAGATTTCTTTCTTTTTTAGCACAAGCTTGTCATTTGTTGATAATCTGTTTATTGAAGTCTTATGAAAGTAATGAAAATACCTATTAAGCAACACTAAAATTGATCTCTATTTTCTTTGATTAAATCTTCTTTATCATTCTTTTTTATTTGTTATTTTTACTTCTGTACTACAGGTACATGTACTGTAAATTGTAAATTTTAATTAAACATCTCCATCTCTTATTGGAAATTGCCTTATTCATTTTTTTTCTAGATTAAAATGACATAAGAGCTGTATTTGTATATAAGTTGTATATAATCATATGTTAAAGCAAAAATAATCTTAATCACACATTTTCCACCTTAAAAAATACACTGTACATACATGTGAATGTTCCCCACACTCCCTACTGTATGATCCTTCTTGAAATGAAAACAAACAGAGCATGGGGAGTGCAGCATTTTACTGATACAAATCAAATTGCATTTTCCTAAAGCTGAACCAACTTAAATATACATGGCTTGTCAAGGCTAGATTTTCTTCATTTAAATGAAGCCAGCTTTTGTGATTAATTAGCATTACACAAATTTCAGAACATACCAGTATTTCACTTTCATTAATTGGCAAAAGAGCGGAAAGCCGACATTTAGCATACACATATGCTCACAAGCTTGTAATTTTTGAAATTTTCTCTTTCATTCATGTATATGAAAAATATGAAAATCAGCTTTTAGGGATCATTGTGCCAATAATTCACCCCCATCCCCTTAAGCAATATGTACAGTTCTTTATGCAAACTCTTACAAAGAATATTATTAGTAATGATCACAAGATTGCCATTTTCATTAAATGTTATGCTCATAACATTTTTATTTCACTTTACAACTGTGACTCACAAAAATGCATTTCCCTATCTTTTACTACCACATTCCAAATTGCATGAAAAGACATAAAATGAATATAAATCAAGAGTTATGTAAATGTGCTGATTTTTGTATCTTTTGCTTTATATAGTACAATTTTATTGAAGAGAAATATATTGTTGCATGCAAAAGCTTGTAATGCATTTATATAAATATTTATAAAGTCAACAACATCTATCACAGCTTCCAACAATCAAAAAGTTTAAAACAATGAAGACAATACAAGCCCCTTGGGGTTTAAAACAAGAGATCAACATCATATATAACAATACAAACTTGATGCAATATTCAAACAAATATTGTCATCTTTCTCTCATATAAACATTTTGCAGAAGAGATCTTTTGAAATGTTTTGACACAAATAACATTCCCATAATGTGCCAGCTAAATCTAAAGAGTTGATAATGTGTCAAGACAATATCACTTTCTCATATAACAATGTTCCACTAGCATGGATTAGTTTTTCCTACAATATATTCTACAATTGTATTTCAAAGGTTGGTAAGAAAGGCTGTTGAAATGACCAGCTTCACATAAATATCAAACTTGAAAAGGGGGAATGTCAAACAAATATTTATCCATATCATAAACATCCACTAAAAAGCTTTAACTGCAAATTTATGAATTGAAAACAATTTCTACTTTCACTTTCACTTTCAATATTCAGATTTGAGTAGTAGTACATTTTGAAATCCTGGCTTCATATCCATTACAGGCATGAGGGCATGGTGGTTCCAAACCAAATCAAAGAGGCCTGCACTGTACATACTGGTGGTTTATATATATATATATATATATATATATATATATATATATATATATATATATATATATATATATATATATATATATAGTAATGTCTAACATTTTAAGTACATCTTCAGTACTCAGATAACATTTACATAGTATAATGCAAAACTGGTACTTCCCTTGCACACTAATAATCTTATTGATGATTATAATCAATCTTAATCAATCTTACAACATTTTGTAAGTCAAAATAAATAGTAAGTAGTTCAGAACTTGTTTGCAACACTCATTAGAACTAACATTACAGCCATAAAATTGTTCAGCTTAACTAAAATGGCATGAATGTCTTCTATCATAATATTGTAAGTTAATGTAGACTTCTGTCTGTTATAAAAAAGGGTGCGTCATATTCAAAATGAAAAATAAATTTACTTACAACATATTTCAAAAATATAAACAAAGAGCATGAAGTTCTTATCAGGTTTAATTTCTTATCACTTAGTTTTATATTCGAAGCTGTTCTGATAGAGTATATTATTTTCAACATGTGTAGTTTAATCAAGTCATTTCAGTACATGATTCAATCCATTTGTGCAATTTCTCACAAATATATTCTAATATAATCAACTTATTCTTGGTAAAGGTTTAGCTGAGGTAGTAAAATGCATGTATTCATTACATATAATATATCATGGTTCAAGACTCATTGGACTGATGTACTCTTTTACCAACACATACAATAGCACTTTAAAACCTAAAAGATTTAAATGTGAAAAACAGACCTAGATTTTTAAAACAAACTGTCCCATGTGGTTCTGGGGAGCTACCTCCTACCTCCTATTTTCACAAAGTAGAGACTTTCAACTCAGCAGAATACTTGTTAGGACCTTTTCTTTCCACTTTTGGTGAAAAATCATCCTCCATCTCCATCTGTTCCAAGGGCATATGCTGGTGATCATGAAATTCAATACTCATCTCCACATCTGCCATGGAGGTGGACCCGGGCTTGAGAAAACAGAAAAAAAAAACATTAGATTTAAATTAACCCAGTTGGGGAACATTTGATAAATTTCAATCAAGCACCTGCAGATTTAGTATAAGTGAAAATACATCTCTGGGTGTCAAAACAAAGGAGTGTGCCTTACAAAATTAGTGCAGGATATCTCTCAAGGAGATGGTAAGATTTAAGATAATGATAAAAAAACCCTCATATTGTCACCTTCTAGTAGCACTGTTATTTACTTTATGACTATACATTTCCATCACTCTCTTGAAAAATATAAATTAACATATGCTAAAAGATTTTAACAAATCTGGAAACTAATTCTTTAATGCAGAGTAATCATTTTTGTCAGCTTACTCTGCAATGCACAGGGCTTGTAGAATTGACACAGATAAAATTGGCAAGACACTGCTTTTGTTCAATGTCAGCAGAATGGTTGCTGTTCAAGCTATCAGTAGAATATGTGGAAAGAGGACGTTGAGAGGAAGGAAGAGATATCTGAGGAACTGCCCCCATGTCAGCTGCACTGTGACCTTTGGTGCCTTTTTTGACCTTCTGAGAACAGACAGACAGAGGTAGAAGCAAGTAAATAAGCACACAAAAGGTATTAAGATCAAAGAGAAGACTGCAAATATATGATCTGTTGAATTTGTACAATCTGGATTAAAAGTTTCTGCAAATAGTTACTGTTACTAATTGAACAATACACTTCAAATGCAATTTTAAATTTTCAGAGCAAAAAAAAAAAAAAGATGTCCAAACAACCAATGTATATTTTACTAAATTAATTAAAATCTTTCAAAATAACAGAAGAATTACATTTGTTCCATCATTTGTACTGTTGGAGCTTTCCCGTTTTTTCTTGGTCTGAGACAGTAGTTCATCAAATTCCTTCTTCAAGACTTCCACCTGCTGGGCAAGCTGCTCCCGATCACCTGTGTATTCACTGTCATCTGCTGTCTCGTACTTGGCCTTTAGAGATGTCAGTTCAGACTGGATAGCACTGATACGTGACTGGAGCTGTGGCAGAAGTAAAAAAAAATTGTCTCCAGGAAGAACTTTCAAAGCAATATTAAAGTTTGTGGAGTTATAATATCCCTCCTCTTTCTTATTAAATATTTTATTTGTGCATTTATCTAATTGAAATACTGTGATCAGCATATTTTGCACAAACTGTTTCAAAAATAACTCAAGAACTACTTTTCAAATTGTGACTTAAACAGTTCCAGCTTTTTTCTTCTACATAACGTGTGATGTTAAACTTTCCCAATCTCAGTCAAAGGGGGATGCTATTACTCACCTCTTCCATTGTTGGCTGCTTTGCCTGGTTTACTATTGAAGCTCCTAAGACAAAACTAGGATTACTATGTTCTCCAGGTAAACGACGGTTAGCAACCATGCTCTCCAGACTGTTTATCTGCATAGGAATTAAAGAAAAAAAACAGCTGATGTAATATTCAACAACATTATTCAAGCCTATAAATAAAAACAAAGATAAAACTCTTACCAAAAGACACCTTTTCTAATGTTTTTTCTAGAATTATCCATGCAAACTTAAGTTATATACTACAACTCAATATCCAAAGTTATTCTATTTTCACCACCACAACAGAAAACATACCTGTATGCCTGAAAGTTACATGTCAGGTGCTGCATTAAACAGTATTTAAGTAGTCATTTCATCAACAATGCTACATAAAAAGGGTAAAACCATTAAAATGCAATATAAAACATGTTACACACATTGGTGATCCTCTTCTAATTAAAACACAGTAAGGTTACCTATTCCCTTACCTGTTGTGACAAGTACTTTGCAAGTAACTTAGGGTCAGGCACCACTGCTTCATCAGCCAAGATACCAACTCTAATGTCATTTCCATAAGTGAAAAATGAAACTGACAGTCCAACACTGCTCCTTGTTGGTGTCCAATATACTATACTCTTCACCTCTTTAGTAGCCACTTTCATTTTCTGGTTAGGCCCTGGCAGATTTGATACAATACAGGACGTTTTCCCTATAATAATATCCTGCAGAATGTTGCTGAGTTTCAGTGGTAAAATATAACATAAATTCCACCATACCACATACAAGATCACAGGCAAAGCAGAGTCTCGGGTTTGCTCCATCATTTGACTAAGATCCCACAGCCTCGGTATGGCCCCCTCTGTGGACACAGGTAATTGTACGGGTACATTTGCATATATGTTGCCCATAACCAGGTTAAAGTTATCATTTTCTCTTAAATCTACAGGAATGGTGGCTTTGATATTTGTTGGCAGGTTGTCACCTAAGGACTGAAGGTAAAACCGTATCCCCCCTGCAGTCACAGATAAAAATATATCACCAAGCTTGGTTCTTGTTATTTGCTGTATTTTATTGGCTGCAAACAAACTGAACGGTTCTGTCCAGATGGCAACTTTTTTCCCTGATAGTTTCCTCTTTAAAAGTTTGTTTTTATCTTTACGGCCAAATAAACAAGTCAAGAAACACAGCGGTCCAATCACAAAAGACCTTAAAACATTGAACATCACAGATATACTTCCAAAAGGAGCCTTGAGTTCTAATGTAGATTGGCTATCTGACACAGCTCTGTGGAATATCTTCACTAATGATATCCCATCAGATAGACTTGGATGAGTTCTCAGCAATAAAATCATTTGTTTCTTTTCTCCAAAAGATTCAAGCACCTGAATTTCCCACAATGGACGTTCAAATGAAAGTTGCATAGATGACATGTGGGATATGTACTCCTGAAGATCTTTGCAGTCTTTGATGGTGCTAGGCATTAAGCGTATATGGTTTGATATATTGAAGTCTAAATCGTCCATCCAAACATATCCACAACACAAAGAGACTACCTTCTGTTTAAACCTTGGGTAGTACAACCTGCCATTTTCATTTTGTGCACATATCAGTCTGGAATTGATTATATCCCTCAGTCTACCTATTTGTAAACCGCCTTCCAACACCAGCATAGTTTGAAAAATGGCCTTATTTTCTTGAGTTTCATGCAAAAGCATAACATCTGAATGAGACAATCGCTCCTCCTTGTAACATCTGCACGTTCTCGCTGAGCAGCAAAATCCACACGCATCTAAACTGTGCTTTACTGCCATACCCACAGGTAGCATGAAGCATGTTATCCCAAGTATAGGACAGCACACGATGATTGCTGCCAAGATATAAATGAAAGTCACTGCCATGAAGGCCAGCATACTTTGCTGCGCTGTGTGCACAATTCTTTTATAAGGAGTGTTATGTAGCCTGTTCACAGGATTTTCTTCCCCTGATGCCTCTGAAATATCCGAGAATTCCTTGTCAGCCACATTGACTCTGACATCCAATGAGTGCCTTGTACTGCCACAGGTGGCTTCTTCTGGACTATCATTAATACTATATTTAGCACCAGGCCGTTTAATGCCATGATTTGGCAAAGGACTAGTGCCTTTTACAGCAGAACTTAACTCCATTTCTTCAGAGTTGCTTGTGCTTTTCTGCAACAATGATGTCATGGGCATTCATGATTATGTACAAAACAATCCATGGTACAAAATGAGGCATCAACATGTTTCTCGCTTGTCACCGTCATTCTTCATTCTTGGTAAAACATTGTGGCCTTGAAGCTGATTCCATACAAAATGTCAAACCAGTTTTGCCATCTTATTTGCCTTTTTGTGGATTTTCAATTCCTGTAAGGAAAAAGTTTTGAAATATTTAGAGATCACCTGTCAATATGCTTTTGAGGATAGTTAATAATTCATGGAGCACTAATACAACTTGGTATCTAATTCTACAGATAGATTTCCACTGTGATACCAAATAATGATTTAAAAAAAGTACTAACAAATAAGTAAGCAGCATCCTCAATGAGCAAATGAATAGATGAATAATGGCTTCTATAGAGGGGGTGCAATCTCTCATATTCAACAGAATTCAGTTAGAATTAAAGCACTCCATCCAAAAATTTGTTCTAAATTAGGTTGTGGGCATTGACAACAACAACAACAACAACAACAAAAGAAAATAAACAGGACCAAATTGCTACTGGATGACTCTAATAATCTTTCTCCTCTCTACAACTGAGGCCCTTTAGATTAAATTAGTGTTCAGCTTTACGTGCCAGGCATGTGCATTGCTTGTGATCCCCAGAAGCTATCTAAGACACTATTGATCTGTTTTCCCCTATGAACCATGATCTAGAAAAGCAATAAGCCTACTCATCTAAGTCCCTCATTGTCAAGATATGGTTTGCATGGATTGCATGATTTAATCTGGTGCACTGAAACAATATGGCATAAATCTTGTCAATTTGATAGTCAACACATGCAATTGCTGCAAAATTTTAATGGCTCAACCATGAAAAGTTATATTTCGCTTTCTATTAGCATTTTTTAAGTAAGTAATTTTGGGTACTGCTACACCCATGAAGTGAAGTAATAGATAAAAGCTTCATACTTTGAACACAAAAAATAAATATAGATTAAAAAAACAAACAAGTTGCTATGATTGTCTTTATAATTACCTAAATCTGCAATAATTCAATGAGAATTTTATCTCACTCCCATGTAAAGCAATTCTAAAAGTAAAATGTATATTTCCTTTCTGTCTGACCTTTCAATTTTTTCTTCCCCCCAGACACCAATACCTTGATTGGTTTGATTTCCTGCAAATTTCCTTGTAGATAAACATATTTTATATTGGAAATTGTTTTACAACCCACATGCATACACTAAAATAGCACGCATCCTCTACTTGTTGGCGCCAGTGTTGAATGGGTGTTCATTTCCCAAGAGATATGCCAATAAATATGATAAGGATGCATTCAAAATTAATTGTGTCAACACTGTGAGGCAAGCAGAGTATCATAAAAAATGCACTTTAGCTAATAAGAGCAACTCACAGATGGGGCTGAAATACAAACATACGTGGTTTGCAACCTTTACCAATACAAAGAATGGAAAATAAATGATTGCAAACTGAGTATATGCAGATTCATTCTGAAGACTACCTCCTGGAAAATTGGTCAGAAAAAGTTCACCAATGGCTGTGACAGATAACCTGTGCATATTATGTACCATGCATGGTTACCAAACCACTAGAAAGGATTACATTATGATAATACTGTGCTGACCTTATGTTTGTAATTCTTGGATACTTCTACAGAATGCAGGTAGGGAAATTGATGCATGTGCACGATACAATAAGTGTAGATATTAAGAAGATTACAAAGGAGTCATCTTTTGTTCTCAAAGGGGGTTTTCATATTATTGTTGACTTGAGACTGATTTTTGTATTTCCCTATTGTCTCCATATCAATCAAAAATTGCTTCATATCAGAAACAAAACAAGATAAGTTCTGCATGGTGACTTGCTCACGAGAAAAATAGAAAAGGAAAGGCATATGACAACAACACAAAGACAGTGTGAAACTTTTACAGCAAATCTAAAATCTTTAGATCTAAAATCATTTCGTCGACTGTTATCAGGGTTTTGTCTGCTCCCCCTATTTTGACTTATCACAGTATCAACTGTTTGTTAGCCATGGCAACAAGACAATCCAATTCTATGTTTTCATGGGCACCATTGGTTACTTAGTATATTCCAAACCTAACAATTTACTCTTAGACAACATTCCCAGAGATTAGATCGATCCAACTAGATCGACTTAACTCCCTGGGGGTTCACGCTAAATAGCTGTCAGCCTAGCGGGCACAAAAGTTAATTACCCCCTTACAGCTTGTAGTAGGCGGGACAGACATTTAAGCCGGATTATCTAACAGTAAACTAGTGAGACTCCCCACGGGGATAGAGCAATCTAAAATCTATGGGAATGCGCCCTTAAAGCAGACAGAGGGAATTATTAGTATATATACCTGTGTTTTAAGTCATTTGAATTTTGATAATCTTTTTAAAGAGATGAAATATTTCAATGCCAAGTTATTTGTATCATCCAAGTAATGAAAAAGTGTAATGCTATAATTACTAAATCTAAAAATACTTCCATCATAGAAGCCTACCTTGAAATTCAATTGATGCTATGGTGGGTTTTATATTGCTTAACTTGGATCAATAGCTGCTTGGGGGAATTTATCATAAATACAATGTTATGCATTATTCAACATCATACCTTACTGTACTTGGTTGATGATGAAACCAAATAAGAGATTTAAAGAATTGGATGCAACTGATATATCAATATGAATATTTTCAGGCTAGGTAAGCTGAACCTGTGATCAAGTCCTAAAAGAAAATTCACCAAACTATTCCTCGTATATTTTTAATGAAGGAAACAGAAACAAAAATGACCTAATAAAGACTTTCCAAAACATTTCCATTCCTATTTTTCACATTAATTCCCTCTCAAACCATAAATTGCAGGACTATGTACTGATGAGCACATTAACAGACATTTATAGATTTATGACATATTTCTAGGCTGCTATGATTGACCTAATCAAGATCCTCTGCCCAACCAATGAAGTCAACTAGCCCCAAACAAACTCAGGATACTTATTAAATGGGCTGTTTAAATAGTGATTTTATACATATACTGCCATTTTCACACATAAATACAGCTCTCAGTCTCTGCTACAGACGAGCATCAGTGGGTTTTCGTCTAGATGTATTTTACCAGAGGTAAATACTGCATGCAGCATTTTTTTCTGTTTTTATAACTGTTATTGTAGTGATTGCAGTAACCATCCAATTATAGAGGACTGCTTTGCAGAGAGTAGAAATGGGTGTTAGCAAAATGACTGAAAGTAAGATGGCATGAGGAATGTACATGATTGACAGCATCGTGAAAATGACATACAAAAACCAGGTAGCTCTGTATGAAAATTTGAAAGTGTGACCAAAAACCTATATGTGTGTGAAAACACAAAATATATCTGTATTTTTTTGAGAATTACAGTGAGGTGTATGGAAAAATTGCTTTACAGTTGGCCAGTTGGGTATCTAGGCCTGAAATTAAGACAAAAACATGATACATGTAGATGGCATATAGCAAAACATGAATTTCCTCATGACATAATTCTTTCATTTATCAATACATTAATGGTAAATGCAAAAGAGTTTTGCAAGGGTTCACATGATCACAGTCAGGTTACCCCACAGATGGCAGTTGTTACAATACTGCTGTGAAAATAGTAAAAGATATCATATGTAAGCATACCACATCCGTTAAATGAAGTTTTCTTCTAATCCAAGGAATAAGGAAAATAATGTACACTGTTAGAGTATTTGGGTTAAAGATGACTGACAGTCTACAACTCATCAAATGACACAAAAATGACTGCTGGTTCATCTTTTATATCTTCTTTATATATGTAAACATAAAATACAGCTGAGAGGTTAGATTTTGTGTGATAAAACATAGGAGGAAATGAAAGGTAGTCAATGCCACTAAATACGTAGAGGAGTTTCTGAAAACCTACTCCCTTGTATTGTTAATGAAAATGAAATGACAAAAAAGAGATGTAAAAGAAAATTACCTGTTTGACTGTGATTCTTGGTATAACAAACAATGCCCTGGTCCTGTTAATGATATCATTTACCTGGAAGATTGCAATAAAAATGTAATCACTGCAGTAAACCAAGTTTTGAAAGTAGCACGCTAGATGAAAATGACAATACCATTAGAAGTCACGCAAACAAAATTACAAACAATATTCAATCAACTGAATCATGCAACTGGGCAAGCACACTGATTGACTTACACTACTGAAAATTTAGTTACGATGGAGACTAAAAACCTTGCATGTTCATGCATGTTAATCACCTTTGCAACACTCTTGCAACGTAATTATATAAAATATGATACTTTGTTCAGTGTGCACTGATGTTCTTGCTGCACTTTTTTTTTTGAGGTTTCATTTTCATCTCCTCTATCATTTTAATGAAATTTCTAAACTCTCTATATCGTGTATGTACATGTGTGTGCACATATACACATTTCAGTATACCTTATGGCAAAAAGTAACTGCTAAAATCTGACAATTTGAAAAAATAAACTTACCTCAAAAAATGAAACAGTCTTTTATTAGACGGTATGCTTGAACTTGTTGCTAAAATAGAAAAAATAGCTATATGAATACGTGATATGTGTGCCCTTGCTCATGCACTTGTTGTGCTTTGCATTTAAGACACCTGCTTGGTCTAAGACAATGTTCTGTTAACACTTCTTAATATGCCATACAGCAAATCCATATGTAAGCAGCCTATGAAAGCCCCACTTACCTGTTTCATTCTCTAAACACCTATAAGATGGTTGATATTATAAAACCTACCTTTAAGCATTTCATATGAAATCACTTGGCAGGCAATTATCTAGAGCTTCCACATATCCTTGAAACACTTTCTATAAAGCATAATATTGATCCATGACTTTATTTCTAAACAATAATTACAGCAAGCACACAATACCATCAGGCAATACAGTCCAGATAATATCAGGCCAGACTGCATCAGTCTAAAAGCAACCGTTTAATATAGCAGTTAAGGCACTGACAGCAATGGGATTCAAAGAGAAATAATAACAATAATAAGAGCAATCACCTCTACCATTTGTAACATATCTACAGTACTTCTCTATCAAATAATTGACAGATAGGCAATATCAACACTCACACTCAGAAAAAACAATTACAGCTACATTTGTGTTGTATCCATGGAAACTGAGTTCTCAGAATAGCAATTCTGCTATTCAGGCTTCTGCATTATACCTCCTTACAGATATATGTATGCTGGAAATGTGCCAGTGTAAATCTAGCTAAAAGATTCTTGCCAGACCAGAAACGAAAGATCAGAATATTTGGTCTGTGAACTGGGTGATTGTCTTTGAGCAAGTAAAGGTCTATATTATTTAGATCTGTTCTTCAGGTAACCACAAACAGTTTTCTATGGAATTACTTGTAAGAGTGTAGCTTAGGTTGAAAGTTATCTGTGCACTGGTGTAGGTTTCTTCTCCTGATGTGGGATTAACTGACATTTTTTTTTAGTATTTTAAGCCAAGCATATTTCTTTTAAGTTTTTTTCTTTCTGCACACTGCATGTTGGATGTCTGTTAATTATAAAACCTATATCCATTTTAAATAGAGATCTAAATCAAATAAAGAAATCTTGGATTACATATATTTACTTGAATAAGGTCACAATTAATTTGAAATAATAATATATGTTCTTCATTTTATCGTGTTTGTGATAACAGTGCACAAAATACTTTTGTCAATTTTAATGCAATATTACATAGAGTGATATCTTATAGCATAATCGCCAATAATTTAAAATTAAAGTTTGAACTACCAATACATTCAGAAAATGTAAACCATTAGCACTGCATGAGCTTCAAACCCATGGAAATGCAAATTAAGTTACATCTGGAAACTGCCAATTTTTCAAATACACAAAAAAAAATCCATACAAAACTTAATACTTCAATAATAACAATTTTAGTAAAAAAATTGAGTAAAAAGAGTAAAAAAATGCACGAAAGTGAACAGCAATACCAAAGGCAATGATGACAACATTAGCTACATCAACATCAGGTGATTGCTATATACTTGGACACATTGTGTGTATAAATAAAAATATTAATCATCTCATCTCATTCACTCTGATCAAACCAGTGATGTTAGCAAAAAACTCAAGCTTTCTCCCATTGTACCTGGGTAGTAAATCATTTCAAATATAAGTCCCTTAGTATCAGTTCACACCTCAGTTTGAGAGTGTTTCAGTCTTTTTATTCCTGCTGTCTTGGGTCAATAAAACGTCAAAGCACTTAGGGACACCAATTGCAAGTTTAGTAACATCACATAAACAAGAGTTTGATGCACAGGGTAGAATAAGGCGTTACTTGTGCAGCATGTAAGGCCTAAAACTGAGGCAATGCTAGAAATTGCCTAAGTTTGCAATAAAAATGGAATAAAAAAGATTAAAACTTTATCAAACTATAATGTTTGAACTGATAATAAAGGACTTTATATACAAATTATATAATACAAGGTGTGACAGAGGACACACAGTTTTGCCATTACATGGATATTTTTAGTCTTGACAGTTGAAACACAGGTTGTATTGAGGCTTTATCTAGAATATAAGACAAAAAAATGGCAGCGCTATGTACATGTACTTAGCAGAAGCCGGTTCCGCATAAAAAAGGTCATCAAAATTATAAGTTAATCACCATGCATGTATCTATAATTTGTTTGAACTTCAAATAAGTATTTGGTGCCCATTTTGACGATGAATACGAATATAGACATTTCACTCGTAGATTACACATCTGACATCTGGAGACTAAAATAGGTGAACAAGTCTTCCCTGTGAAATTGTGCAGGTTTAATATGGACGTACAGTACACGTACTGTGCACGTACAGGTCCTTTCAGAGGACAAGAGATCTATAAAACGTACACTAAGTTTAGCAAGTTTTTCTATGGATATGGGTATAGCATTAGGCTATAGTTGTATATTCTTGATGCAAGTAAAACAAATAACAACTTACTGACAAGCACCTGCCCCCACTCACGAACCAGGAAAATAATAAACCCCCGAAAACGAGGCCTTGGCATGCACATTACTTCCGCCTGTCTGTGCGTCCCGGTTTGTTTACCTGCTGCCATGCGCTAGCACGCTAATGCTTCACAACTCTATGATTCAGCTGCATTACTTGGTTTGGGTAAGATGCATTTTTTTGTGTGCATTACTTTTGGTAATTTTTTCTTTTTGTTTAAGTGCTTATAAACGATACAGCCGAGGCAATCGTTGTTCTTGCAGCAATTAAAGTTCAATTATACAGAGGCAGCCTGTCAGGCATGTACAGTGTGTATAGCGTTTATATACCAGTATCTATCTATCCTTAGTTTTAGACCTTACAAGTGACTTGCTAAATGAAATGTAAAGCCAAAAACTGCAGATAATTAAATAAAGTCAGACAGGAACTTTTTTGACTATGATGTGAGCATCAAAATTGACAAAATGTAACAAGTAGCTCTTTTTTGTTTGTTTCTTGGTTTTATTTTATTTTATTTTATTTTTATTATTATTATTTTTTTTTTTTCAAATGTAAAAATATCTTATCCAGGGGAAAATGTACTGTTAGTCAGAAGCAACAGTAATTAAGTTATGCTATCAGGCAGATAGGGAGAACAGTGGTGAAGTCCCTTAAGTGAACTTTTCAGACAACTGAACATTTGAAGTACTCAGTACTGGTAATCTTAAAAAAAAAAAGAAATAAAAACTTTGTCAAATTTTGATTCATCTGTTTTAAAACCAATTAACTTTTAGACTGCTGAAATAGATAAATACTGGCCTTGTAATGGTATTCAATTAACAGGTTGATTAAAATCATTGTCATTAAATCATAATTAATGGGAGTACATATCTTATTTTAATTGAAATTATTGTATTTTTTCATATCTTTTACTAGAATAACATAGGAGGAAAAATTAATACAACATATTCTAATATGTCTTTATACTCATGCATTAGGCGCTTGTGTTTTGGTCAGACTTTGTTCATGCAATCTCTATAATGCATCAGATTATTTTGTTAATTCCAATAATATCCAAGCTTAAGCCACCTGCTGTCTGCTGGGAGCTCTACTTGATAAATATCTATGGCAACAATTCTGTTATCTCCCTCAGGTCACACTGGCATGTTCTGCTACTGTACAGGCAAACAAAGGCTCCTGTGTGGTTTATATTTGTTTGGCCTCAGAATATGCTTAGAAACTGTTCGTTTATGGTCCATTGTTGAGTACTTTCAACTTCTTTGCTGTTTCATTGACCTTTATTCATTCTTCTTATTTTGTGACCTAAGAATAAGGTACAGTAGTATTACTTTTAAATGACTGTCAATGATATTTCTTTTTAATAAGACAAATATTTATTTTTAAAAAAATCTACTTTATTCATATGAATGTTCCCCTAAAATGTATTAATACATGTATAATTTACTATATGTTACAGTGTAACAAAACATATATCAATACATCAATGGACAAAATGAATTCTGGTAAGCATAAACCACTTGAACATGCAGTGAATGCATAAATAATTGGCTTGCACGTTGAAGATAGCCACATATTGATTATTATATCATGAATTGCTTCAATCTGTGCATAAGAAGAATGTGAAATGATGAAAGTTTGCCAAGTGATGCAGGAGTAGGGACTGGCAGGTATTGATATAAATGTTCTTTACGTATTTGAAGTAAAAGATTATTTCAGACTATTTTTTAAGGTAGGGTGAAAAATTTTCAGTAGCTGAACAGTTTAATCAATTGTAAGCCTGTTTTGGCACAGACATATTTAGTATCTACTAGTAAATGACAGAGCATAGCCCCTCCTGATTAATCAGTAAAAAAGAGATTTCTGAATTTTTAGTGGGTCCCAGAATTTTATTTTTTAAAATTCATTAGAAACAATTTGGTCTCTATAATTTGGTAAGATGTTCATTGTATGTTTGTATGTATAAACTTGTAATTAGCAAGTTTTATCACAGATTAGGTGAATTTCATCTGAAGTTTTTTAATTGTCACATTATTTAACTGAAATATGATTTTGTCTAGCATGAAGTGAGGATTTCCATTCTTTGCTATCAGATCTGTTTTATATATAATGCTATGGAGAAAGGAGTAAATGTCCCTGACTTGCACACATTGATCTTTATGCCAATCATTCTACTAGGTATTGGAGAATTCAGTAGGTCAGCCTACTATTACCAGTCAGTTTAGTGGAATACTGTGCTGTATGCGGACCTCAGTTTTCATAATGTAAAATCTATTTGGATTAATTTGATGCCACGAAATGCAGTCTGAAATTAAATCCAAACCAACTACAAACCAAAATAAAGGTATGTCAACACTGGGTTGGTCCGGGGTATATGTTTGTTTAGCTGAGGTGTAACGCTTAATGGTTAAAGAAGAATAAGAAGGAAGCTTGAAGGTAAATTTTATTGCAGCCAAGGATGTGAAGTGACTAGGTAATGACATGATGCAAAAGTGTCTGCTGTTATTTTCATAAGATTATTTTATTTGGCATAGGACTTATAGCTTTTGCTATTGATGCATAAGAAAGGAAGTTTACCATTGTGATGATAAATTCAGCAAAAAGAAATTTTGTAGCTTACCAGGCAGTATGTACAAGCAAGAATGAAAGGAAAAATGTAAGCTTGCATAAATCATAATGAAGGCAGTTTTTAAACTTCTTTAGTTTCTTTTTATTATGATAACAATTAAGCATATATGTGACACATTTTCACCACTATTTAGTAATTGAATGCAATATAATTATTCTCAATTATTCCAACTCTCTAAAGTCAACCATTCATCAGTCTAATTAAACACTGCAGGTTCCCAGAGGTTTTTGCTTGTTATGTTATCCTTTCTTTGCGTGACAGACAGCTCTTTTTTATCAGTGGTAAATAGGCTGACTTAATTCCTTGTCACATGACCAAGGAAGCCATGGGTTTGGTATCCTCCAAATGGATTACTTTTAGATGCTGAAATTAGGAATCACTCTATTGATTGTTAAGTAATAACAGTTGCAGGGGTTAGACTTCTTTGTTGAAATCAAGATCTGCCCTTAGCTGTCACAGTGTTATAAATTTGATTTGATTTGATTTGTGTACTGACCATCACTGTAAGTATGAATATAAAACATACTATGAGTGTATACTGCATAGTTTCAGTGTATTCTTTTTAGATGTTTTATGTATGGATTGTATGTTGTCAGTAATTTCAAAAAAATGTAACTACTTGTATGCATCCATAGCAATCTTAACTAGTTATTTTTCTTAATTTGCATTGATTTGCTAAATGTATTACGTCATGTATATTTCTTATTTCTTTGTTCATCATGATTTATCTGCCTGACATAATAGAGTATTGCTTAGCTTTCTGGGTATCCATACCAAACATCCAATGAAAAAGACAATCATGGCCGTAAAATCCATATATAGGAAGCTTATTTTAGTACTGACTGATATTGATGAACAGTGCTTTAATACCATTGGGAATGAAGAAAACTCATATGGCTGGTAAATTTTTGCTAATACTTTGTTGCAGTGCATTCATGGTTAGGTAGCCAGTGTATGAATCTTTTTCCTCAATTTCTCTTTAAGTGCATGAACTTAAATGCTATACCATCTGTGCTCTAATGACCAAACTATCTGTTGCAGTTGACTATCGCAGCAAGTGTCACAATGTGAAAGGCAAGAACAAGCTTCCTCCATATTCCACAGCCAAGCTGGCAGCAATGGAGAGTTGGAATAAGAATTCGTCTGCGACAAGCTCTCCCAGGACACCCAGAGCCAGAAGCAGGAGTGCATCCTATGGGAACATTGGAAACAGAGGGACTGTTACAGAAGCGGCGTACCAGAATGGCGGTTGCAGCACTCCCGACCTCAAGGATGTTGCACAAGAATTGCAGGCTAAGGCTCTAATCCCTCTGAAAGAAGACTTGGCACAATGGTTGAATAAACTATTAGGTAAAGTGTCTGAAGATGTTGATTTTTTAATGGGATTTTTTTTTTTTTTTTTTGTCTTTCTGCTCATTTGAGAGAAAAGGTGTGATCGGAAAATACATATTGCTTTGTGTGCTAAGAGTGCTGCAGGAAATACAGGAAGAATGCATTACCAATGTGGTAATGGATTCTTGACAATATAAATAGCCTGCACATACTTACTGCACAAATTATATTGAATTATATATCTAAAAATGATGAGTTTGCTTAATGCACTTAAAAACAATAAAAATATTATATTATTAAAATTTAACAACAATCTGATTATAAATAATATGATAAGCCCTACACAAGCCATTAACAAACAAATCTCAAAAGTGAATTGATCTTTTTTGTCTGGCTTAATCTAACTACTCACAAAGAAAAAGACAAAGAATAATAACATTGTGAAATGGTCAGATGTTTGAGAGCCTTGTTAAACACAAAGATATGAAAAGAGAAAAGTATTGACTTTTTATTGTGTTCATTTCATTAGAGAAGACTGGGGAAAGGGATGAGTAATGAGGTAAAAAGGGCTTAATGAAGCCATGCTGTGCTGACTAAGCAGAAAAAAAGACAGGTTCCCGGAAACACTCATTGATTTTCTATTAGGAAATTAATTAAGCCATGTGATGCAAGTTTAGATAAAACCAGGTGTCTTGACATTTCTTGCTACAATTTTCAAACAAAGAACTCCACCAGTTCCACAAATTAACTTTCCATCATTCAGCCATATCTTGATCCCTCCCCAGAAGGCAAATCAGACCATTACTCAGCCTGCTTTCTGTTTTCAGACTGATTGACTATTGTGATAGGAGACCTGCTGGAAGCATTATTGACATTAATTCCATGCCTGCTTCTAAGCCGCCATAGAACATGTCACAAGGCACAATTCAAATGCATTACTAGAATAATGTCTTTCTTTGAAGTGCAGTTAAATGGTAGATGACAGATGTGTCTTTACAAGCACAATTCTAGATCTTATTCACACACTCAATGAAATATGATATGTTCTTTTTTAAGATAATTATTTGAACAGTTTGGTATTTTAGACTATTTCTAAAAAAAAATTAAAATTTGTGTTTGCTGATAATTATTCAAATATAAGTCTTTTAACAAGTACTAGTAAGGCTCAATTTTTTTTTCTTACTAGTAAATAGAGTACAGCAAGTGGCAGCTCTTTTGTAAAAAATTGTTACATGGGTATACCTTTGTTTTCTTTTTTAAATTAGATAAAATAAAAATGAAAGTGCCACTTCCATTTATTTATAACCACCAACAGCATATTATCCTTTGAAAGTATCAGGATAAAGGTGGTGTGTTTATAGAAGATTGGCACACATTTGTATGTAAAGATTTTAAAACAGTTTCAACCAGACATAAAAAAGATTCACTGTGCAAATTATATATATATATATATGCATTACATTATGCATTACATAATCTGTCATATTTTAAATTGATTAAATCACCATGCAAACCAACAAGCTTATACATATGCACAAATACATGTATGCACATAGGCATCTATGCATTCAATAATGCATTTTACTTCAATTACCAACATTAAAATATGAAAAAATCTTCCTGATAAACCTGTTTAGAAAGAGGGTTGCCTAACAGTAATGCCATATGACATCAATATGCTATCAGCTAAAGAAAGAATACATGTCTTGTACCAGCTGCAGTAACCTACCAATTAGATGTACATCAACTAATGAATAACATGATGAAGCCATGATTACATGTTATTGATCTTGCTGTTATGAACTAATAACATTTCCATGATATGCTATATATATTTCTTTTTGTCTTCAGGTATAGATATTGATGCAGGAAATTTTATGGATGTATTGGATAATGGTGTCTTTGTGTGTCATCTGGCACAGCATATTCATACCAAAGCTGAAGCTAACAGGCAGAATCTAAAAACCACACAGGTATGCAATTTAAATCACGGAATTACATGTGTACTCCCCGCACACACGCATGCACACTGAATGTAGGCACATGTCAAGCCCATGTGTATCTTGATAGTCCTAAGGTTCATTGGCCAATTGGTCTGAAAAATCGTAACATTTTCATCAGTTTTTTTAAATAAAAGGGTTCATTGGTCTAAAGGTTCTATAGTGAATATTTGGAATAAGCCTTTGGACTATTGAACCTTTGGACTATTGTCATGCACCCTTTACACACATCCACCCATACACTGTACATGCATGTATATACTGGTACTCACTAACAATGCACCCACAAATTAAAACACACCTGTGCCCAAACCTGTTCTACAGTATGCATATTCATTAAAAAAATTGCCTTTTTTCTGATGAAATCCGTTACCAAAAAATTGGGATGTCTTCACTTCCAGCACATTCCAGAGAACAAGGTCCGCTTCCGCCCCAATGCCAAACGAGGGTCATGGTTTGCCAGGGACAACACTGCTAACTTCCTGAGCTGGTGTAGGGAGTGGGGAGTGAAACAGGAGTGTTTGTTTGAATCAGAGGACCTTGGTAAGAGCTAGGATCCTGTATACTGGTATATTGGGACCTGGGGTGGTTTAACAGAAAGAAGAGTTGCCACGGCTGATTCTTTAAAGATTTCATGAAGTAAAAGTAACATTTAGAGTTGAATGGAAATAAATCATGCATATCTGATATGCCCCAGAGGCCATATTTGTGATTGGTGTGGTAAACTTGAATGAAACGCTGCTGACAATTGCTCCAGTAGACATGCAAATGTGGGGATCTGAAAATGAAGAAGCTGCAATACAACAATCCAAATTTCAGTGTAGAGAAATATTGAATGTGTTTTCTTCTCCAAATCTAATCGTCACATCTACTGCAATGAGACTGTCACCCACTGTGATGTTGCACCGAAACTAAGGGTCCGTGTAACAGAAAGTCAGCCCTCCATTTAGTTATAATGGTTAGGGTTAGCCTTAAATGGGTCAAAATATAGGGTGAGGCTTACCTATACAAATGAATGGGAAGCGGACTCTCTATCATGGGGGACTCTCTGTCATGTTACAACAGCAATATGATTTTCGTAACAAAATCATTAAACCTGTGTTCTAAAATTATTATTTTCTATGCTCCTTTCTATTTCTCTTCTAGTTTTTCACAAGCACGAAAGATCTGTGATACTTTGTCTATTGGAGCTTGCTAGAATAGCCTCCACATATGGAGTGGAACCTCCAAACCTGGTGAAGTTTGAGAAGGAAATAGAAAAAGAAGAGTTAGGTAGTACAGAATCCCTGACTGGTGGGGTGAAAAGTATGGTGTTTGATTCCCCAAGTTCTTCCAGATCGTCTTCCCCTTGTACTCCCAGGAGGAGGCTTGGCTCAGGCAGGATAGCTTCTAAGCTTCACCAGGAGGTAAGGGGCATTATGAAAATAGCCTTAAAATTGTCTTTTTTATTGATTTTAATTGTTATATGATATGAGAAAAATAAGTCATTGAAAATATGTTTCGTGTTTTATGAAGCATATCTCAATGCGTTTTATTTCTTTATATGAATCTACAGTGCCCCACAATCTTTATTTCTTAATGAGTAGCTTGATATTCATCCCTCATAGGTGACCAAGTTAACCAGCCAATGCACTTGCTCCAACTGTGGCTTCCAAATAAACCGTATCTCTGAGGGCAAGTACAAGATAGGGCGTAAAATTGTGTTTATCAGGGTAAGTAATCTCACTTTTTAGCTTCAATTTATAGGTTTGTATATACATTTAAGTTGTATTTTAAAGATCGAAAATTTTGCATTTTTAAGCTTTTCAAATGGTAAATTACTATTTAACCAAAGTTTAAATCTAAGGAATGCAAATACTCTTACTATTCACATTTATTGGCAATCTATTTTCCAAAATATCAACTCTACAAATGTAAAAAAAAAAGCATTCTACTTCATCTGGTTTTGTATTTGGCTAATACATAGAGCATCTGCATATTTACAATGAATGTCAAGGTTGACTTAAAAAAACACATAATCACAAAACCTTCTGTTTTAGTGAAATTTGCTACAAAGTCGAACAATGTAGAAATATGAAAATGTGGAATATGGTACATGAATGGGTGACAGGACATTCATGAAAATTTATATGAACATTTACAGCAGTGTTGTATAATGGTAGTTCCTTCATCTGTTTATTGTGTTCAACATCTGTAACTGCACTAGTCTAATTATTGGAATTTGCTGTTGTTTTCAGTTATTGCATGGCAAGCATCTAATGGTGAGAGTTGGAGGAGGATGGGACACATTTGAACACTTCCTGGCAAAACATGACCCATGTAAAGTGATTGAGTTTGAACGTGAAACAATAGATGACAAGTATTTAGTCATACAGTCCAAATATAAAAGTGGGACATAGTCATATACTCAGTGAACAACACAGTATGGGGAAACACTCAAACGCCAAACAGATATTACAGTGGGGTTTTGAAAATTAATGAATGTTGGCATCCAGGGTTTGAATAAGAGTACAAGTAGGTAGATAAGTAAACAAAAATCTGAAGAAGACATTTACAAACCGTCTTTTATACACTGGTTGTGTGCACATGTTAGAAAAAAGAGAAAGTTTGGATTGAGAAAAGAACACATTAATTTATAAGACACAGTTATAATATACAAGACATTAATGTGTCTATGATATTATGTAAATGTAGAATACTTGTAAACATTGCTCAGTATGGGTGGTGTTTATTTCAATGTGTAAGGTTTGGTAAAAACATGCTCACTGCGCGATTTTAGTGTAACAAAGTGGCTTGGTTTTTTTATGTACATATTGTGAAATTGGATCAAAATGCCAACTACACCAAGTTCGACTAATGTTTTGAATTGCTTTAAGAAATTTAATAACTTGTCAATGAATTATACTAAAAATATTAATGTAAATTGACAATGTTTTAATAACTTAAAATGATATTCAAATGATCTCATAGTTACATAAATGATAAATTCTCTACAAAACAAACTAAGTGCAAGCTGAAACCCAGTTATCAAGAGACAATCATTGTTTTTAAAGAAGATCATCTTCTTTTCCCTGTATTTTTATCTTGCACAGATCTCATATTTGAATTGCTAGTTAAAGACACCAGAATAAGAATGTAAAGTGCACTATGATCATACCTGGATGAATGTACATGTACTTATATACCAGTATTAAAGAAGATGTTGTCCTTTATTGATGGGTAACCAAAATAAACAAAATACAACATACCCTATGTTCACATACACAGAGTGTATTAGCTATATATATATATATTCTTCTGGACATCAAAAGTCATGAAAAAGTCTGTTTTTGTTGGTTTCTAATTTTTACATTATTACTTTTTTCTTACTGGTTATTTTTATTATTATATCATTCATCTTATTTGATTTACTTACGGGAAATTTTTAAAACAATATTTTGAGATATTTTTGATATGATTGTATGTTTTATTCTATTAGTACCCATACTTATTTAAAGATAAACACTTCATCATTTCCACGGCAATGGTTTCATGGCAGCTGAATAAGTTATATCGTGTCAGAGAATAAAGGGCACCAAGATCTACTTTAACATGTTAGTCTGTGTACATTGACCTGCCATTGTCACATATGTATTGAATGATTTGATTTTTTTTCAATGGAGCATTACCAGTTTCTACTCCTTCAAACAAAATTGTAATTACTGAATATGAGTGTAAAGCCTTTGACAAAAATTATTCAGAAATATGATTAAGATAACAATCATCAATCTGTAAATGTTGTACCTTTCTCCTAACTAGTTAGGTGATGCCTAATGGAATTGCACTAAAGTTGACTCTGTCTTGCATCTTTTGACTTTATGGATCAGTTGCCACAGGTTAGCCGCATTTGAATAACCTCAGACTTGTACAAATTTTATAATCAGCATAAGTGTTAAAGGTGAACTTAATTTTATGTAATTTGAGATGACTGTAATTTATATATTTTAGATGCCATATCTAGTTATGTATGTAAGCCCCCCTGTTTTTTTTTTTTTTTTTCTTTCTTTTTTTCTTTCAGGTGATTTATTATGTGATTTTTTTTCTTAAATGATTTTTATATGGGACAAGCCATTGGCTGTATTTTTGCCGTAAATTTTGAATTCAAAGAAAATATGACACTGCTCTTTTTCTTTTTGTTTTTCGTTGTTAGTACGATTTTTTTAAATTATTTAGGTAACTTTATAACATCAGAGTAGCAATTAACTTTTTGAGTTGTTATTCCATTTAAAGGAAGCCAAATTTTTGTTTAAATTTATATTCAAAAATTAAAAAAGTTATGGAATTTACAGTAATGGGATGTATATATAAACTGTCTGCGGTTGCAGTCTTACGTAGTTATTGGCGTTGGACGCAATCAACTATGTAAGTTTCTTTTATTTTACACCTTAAATTTAACGCCTTTGAAATAGTTTTAAAGGAATAGAGTTTGGTTACAAAATTCGCTTTAATAGCATTATGAATATCATAGTTTTTGCTATTTTAGTATCTCTTCATATGTGTTTTTACTTTCATGTTATCTATGTTTCACACGATAAAAGACTTTACCCAGATTAACACCAGATTTTAATTTTTTCATATAACGGAAATTTAAGACCAAGATTTTTTTTCATGGCATCAAAAATGAACAGAAACTCTGCTAAAGTGCAGATTGTATGAATCACAAAGCGGAATCTTTTTCCAAAAATTAAAAAAAATAAATGAAATATCAATTAATTAAGTAAGGGCTAAAACGTTTTGTTTCGTGAAAAATAAACGCGTTTCGTTAAACGTGTGAAATTCACATTTCACTTTGATATGAGAGCAGACAGAGTAAAGTTTAGATAGTTGTTTTTCATTTAGAAGAAAAATGACATTGTGCACGATCTTCGGCTCTCAGTTCACACAAATTAGTGGTATTTAATAAATCGTCTCTTTATTTCAAATTAGCTTTAACTAGATAGTCGGCAATTGCTTTTATGTTTAGCTGCAGTAAAGAAATATAAATGATAAAAAAATTAAGGGCAGATTCCTATACTTGTTAATTTGTAAGAATAAACATTTTGTTTAAAATTTGTTGTTTGAATGACAAGTTGAAAAAACGTGAAGTATGAAAAATAGGCACTATATACCATGATACTTGGACATAATAACGTTATTATGTCCAAGCATGATATTAGATTTTTGTCTTGGATAAAGTGCAGTTAGTCTATCGTTGTTATAATCCGATTGTACATTGTACATAATCCGATTTTGATGCACACTCGTAGGTTGCAACAGTTTGGTCTAAATTTAGGTGGTATTTTCCATAAGAACCTAGAAGTATCAAAATTATGAAAAATACAGCCTAACTTTTCGTGAGTTACATCCTTTTTAAAGGAGTAGTATTTTACCTCGTAATTTTTCTTCACGATACGAATATATGACACAGACATGAAGTGCAGAAGTCTTGTTTCGAAAAGAAAGAGCTGACACTTCTACGCACCTCCGTTGGTGTCTTATTAATCGGGTTAAAGATGCTTCGGTACAGTTCTGTTGGTGTATCAATTCTCTTACGAAACTTTATCAATACTTAAAGCACAGATGTCTTGTTTCGAAAGTAAGGAGCTGACACTTCTACGCGCCTCCGGTGGCGTCGTATTAATCGGGTTAAAGACGCTTCGGTACAGTTCTGTTGGTGTATTAATTCTCTTCGAAACTTTATCAATATATTATCCATAAAAAACTCACTTTGCTTGGCATGTTCGCAATTGGCATATTTGATGGAGAGTACATATCACCAAGTTACTTTATGATGTACGTAAGGATAACCTTTACTAAATTCTATGAAGTGTTTTGTATTTGAATACTTGAGCGAGAAAAAGAGAACTATATCCCTCAAATTTCTTATGATTCTGCAGTGCAGTCCTTGTGATTCAGTAGGGGCTTACTATAGTATTGACACCGCATCAAAAGATATCTAACCCCCAAGTTAACATTTTGTGTCGAAGATTCATTTATCACTTGTCAAAAGGAGTTAAAAAGACGCAAGGATTGCCCTATGTCAGCGAGTTGTAATCAAGTTCATTACAAGGAATTTTTGGTTTGTTATTTTGTTCGTTCCTTTCATGCGAAGCACCATTTATCATTTTTCGTTCAGATGATGAACAAAAAATCGCACGGCGGAACACCAGGCTGCGACAAAATAATACCCCAAAGTCGACAGAGGGTCAATCCCTTTAAAAGTAAACCCAGGGCACAAAGCATCAGCAATCTATAGAAACAAGAAAACACAACAAAAAAGAGTGTAGTCACGTTCGTGAGCCAAAATTGGTCTAATTAAGTATGCTAGTGAGGGTATTTTTCTTCCCCTGTCTGTATCTGACCAGTATACCGCCCTGCAATCACTGTGTCACCCGTTTGAAGGGCCGGGACCCCACGTTTTGATGTACCATTGTGAAGATGCATGACAAGAATATCACAAAAAATGAACAAAAAGAACTGTAGACGGAATAATGCTAAATCTATTGAGATATGCTCGAACAAATTGCCAAGGCTTGGTTACAGTGGTTCTGCATCATCGTTTTTCAGCATTTTGTAATAAAGCCTGTCGCCCTGTCACGCAATGCATTCATTTTCACATAACTTGATGACATCAGGGGCTAGGAAAGGAAACCCTCAACGTGGGAAACGACCTAGAAAACAGCTGATATTTCTGAAAAATTATGTCCATACGATGGACACGAAACACCACTATTTGTGGTTTTGAGTCTAGTTTCGGACCTAGGGCCGTCCGTAATTGTGGACTGTAGGATATCTGTGAAATATCAGTATTGTACTGTGTGCCGGTAGCGAGCCTCAGGATTCAAAATGAAAATGTTTTTAGTTTCAACGACGTCTCCTTTTCATCAAAAGACACGCAACGCTCCGAAGGAATACTGGGCAAAATTCTTAGTTTGAACTGAAAAGTTTTCTTCAAACCGATTCAAATGTGGCTACAATACCTCTTTCTGGCATGTTTCTGTTGGTTTAAGGTACTGTCATTTCAGATATCTTTTTACTGAGCTGAACGATTTATTATATTTTCAGATATTTTTTTCTCATCAAGATATTCTAAAAACAGGTGGCATGCGGGAAGAGAAGTATCAAATGTTAGTTGTTCGGTGTAATATTCAGTGGCATAGCAGCCATTGTTGGTCAACACCACCTGCTGGGAAGTATTGTAGTAGCTTACAAATTTAAGGGAAAAAATAGTGATTTCATGAATTCAGTAGGGATGAGCAAAGTATATGTTATCTACTTAATTCTGGGCGTCTTTGTGGTAGGTAGCTTCATCATGCTACGCCGGACAGTTTGCCGAAATTATGTATGTATCTAGAAAAATTAAGTTGAACTTTTTAAATCATATTTTTGATACATTTCACGTTTCGACCATCTTAAGTATCGAAAGAAGATCGTGTTCAGAGTAAGGTAATAGGGGTTGACCCATGATAGGGATTTAAGACTTGATTTCATGGCAAAAACCCATTTCTCATCGTTGTTGTCAGTTCTTTTGCAATATCAAGTTTCAATAGCTTCGATGGTGGACTGTAGTTCGACTTGCATTGCATTGTGACTGTCGTGCACGATGTTTTTCGAACCTTTGGCAAAACTTTTTGTTATATTTTGGTTCCAGGGAGTCCGCTGTGCAGGAGTCAATAGCTGTAAGTATTGTTTCATGAGCTCGTTGTTTAGTGTATTTCTTTTTCAATCATAAAAATGTCATTTACTTCATAAGGCATGCTCGCGCCACCACTTCGCTTCACTTTTATATTTTAATTTTGTCATAGACATTTAATGTGTCGATTTTTGGTTAATAATACTTGAATTTGTTTTGTGATTATCACAGTATTGTATAATTTTGTTTTTAAAAGCTATAGATAGATTTTTTAAGTACTATTATCATCATCCAATTTGATTTTATCACAAGTTTGCATGTAATATAGATAATCTTATTTTCATTCATATATTGAAAATTAAACATTTTGCTAACATTTTAACTACAAGTAGCTATGCAAATTATCCTTATATCTCCATTGATACATTAAAACCGTGTCATGCGTCAAAATATGCCAAACTGGAATTCCAGTCATCTGAAATAAAAACCCAAAAAAAGCCACCAGAGGCAAGTCATCTGAAAAAGTTGATAACAGGCATATATATATATAGTGCTCTTAAAAACAGAAAAATAAAAGGGAACTATTCTCAGAACGATAAGTAATGTCAGTCCTGCTATACTCCCCTTGCCGCTATACTCCCCCCCCTCTCTCATACACACAAAAAATGGCTGTAATACAACGTATGGGGGTTGGTTCAATATCGTTTTTCAGTTGACGTGAGTTGTGGAACTGGTACGTCAAGTCAATGGGGGATCTCATACTCCGGTGCGGATGCGGCGCAAGTCTATGCTGATGGAAAAGCGGCAACATGTAATTTCACCGAAGAGTTTGACACCAGCACCGGAGTTACCAGATACTATTTTTCCAATATACACCAAAATAATGGAGTCGATTGTGGAAGAAAAGTGAAGTTTTTTATGCCATGCAATTAAAATGTTTACAATTTATAATGTTACATTAATAAAGTGACATAAATTACATATGGAAGGGTCACAGTACGCTTCTTTTTTGCCTTTTCCGTATACATTTCAGTAGATTATAATACCTCGGACTCCATTTAATCTACATTTTATTTGTATTATCGTGGCCTATACAAAATTTATATTTGTTTTCTGTCAATTGTTTGCTTTATTTTTCTTTATTTCATCTTCTCTGTTTGATCAGTGAAAATGCTCAATAAATAAATAAATAAATCGCCCGAAGTCTTTCCTTTTCAGTAGAAATCACTTTTAAGATATTAATGTTCAACTTTGCCTTACAGAAACACGGCAATGCTGAGATCTATTCTGTGAACATAGTGGTTCAGGAGTCCGCCAACACCAGAGTAGTATCGGATCAAGTTTACACCATAACATGTCCATATATCGTCACAGGTCAGGGGTCATCCAACAACCCCGCGACGATAACTATAGGGTAAGTTTTTTTTTTTTTTTTTTTTTTTTTTTTTTTTTAAGGGTTATTCGCATTGAAATGCCGCATACGACTTGGTTCACGTTATACTTGATATACTGAACAAATTCACAAATTCATTAAACAATAAACTATGAAATTTAGCAAGGCAATTACATTGCAGGCAGTCGAGTACTATACCTAAGGTGGAACCCGGCGCGGCCCTTGCAAGCGGCACCTTGGATTTGACGGTGGTGGACGCTCAGAATGCCACAGTGACGTCAGTGGTTTTGGGTCACCCAATCCGACTGCTTGCTATTTACAAAAACAACGCCCCAGCAGGTAACCGAATTTAACATAACTTTCAGAGTCAAAGTGACTAAGAGTTGAGTTCCTTTGGTTTGAAGTTAGATAAAGACACACGGGCGTGCTAAAGGCGTCCTACGACACCAAGGATTCTGTGACTGTAGAAAAAGTTGCAAATTATTTTCTGGATATAGTTTGTTTATTGACATTTGATATAATTCAGTCATGTATATATATATTTTTTAATTTTAGAACAGGGTCTCATGGTAATAGGTTGTGAAGCTCGAGATGCACAGCCTTTTACGCTACAACATTTCTTTTTAGTGGCCGGGTATGTAATCTTTAATGGTCCTTAGTGAAAGAGTGAAATAGTGCAATTTATAAAAAGCTTGACAGTCGATAATTTGATTTGATTACTTAGTCATCAATTATAGACAGAAGAAGACAGCATGGGTAATATGTGCGCGTGTGTACTGTATGTATGAAGAAAAATGAAGTAATATCAAATTTTGACAAATAGCATATTAGGAAATATTCAATATGTAGCTATAATGGATCCGTTTATCAAAATCTCAGTGAAAAAAGTGTTGTTTTTATTTATTGCTTGAATTTAACAGATATTTTTTTATAAATGACCCATATTGCTGGAGAAGGTTGTCGAAAATGTTTGCGCTCGCTATAATCTAGAATGGAAATGCGAAAAAAATTAATTTTTGACAGACATGTAATACTCGTGTCTTTTCCCACACAGATGCGGTCAGGGAGACGTTATTAAGAGCAATGAGGGATTTACGACAGTTGGATATGAATCTATTTCCCCATTTTTCAAGGCTTTTGCTTTCACGCAGAAAAACACCATATTATTTGCCTGCGATTTCGCACTGTGTCCAATTGCTGGGCGCTGTGATGGCGTAAGTAGCTATGGAACCCACAATAAGGAAATGAATCAGTTAACCTGTATCACGCAATGCATTCATGCATTCATTTTCACATAACTTGATTTGTGAAGATAATATCATTTTATTCAGTTCAGTATGCTGTTCTGTCGTATGTATTAGAATATAAGATTTTCTAGTACTTCATTGGTATCTTTGAATTGGTATGTAACAAAATTAGTTATTTTACTTCGTGTGAAAATGTATTACGCTTATTTTACACACTAATTTGAGAAAGTTTACATTGTCATTTTAAAATTTATTTTGCAGTACAATGGAATAAATGAAAAAAGTAATAAGTCAGGCATTCATACACTTTCTTTTTGAAGTCAACACAATTTTATTTGTTTCCAGTCCTCATGTACGCCGGTGGGTCGTCGAAAGAGATCACTTGTTAACAGCACGATGGTGACCAGTCAACCAGTGCGGATACTGTCGTCCGGTGATTATGCAAGTAATGTCCGTGTTTAGAACAATCTTTATTCACAGGATACTGAAAATACGTCTCTACTATCGGCATCTATCTGTATACGGCAGAGCCATGCTGGCTATAAAGAGCTGAGTTTCCAGTTTCCTCTGAACTCACCGAATATTAAAATATGTCTTGTTAACTCATTCAACGCGAAATATTCCGTTATGCATAATGGGTAGATAACAACTATTGGTAGACTGATTCCCAAAAGCTCCCAATGAACTATTTGATGCAATTTAACCAGACAAAAAAGATTTTTAGAAATTTCAGAAAGAGGTTCTTTTCTGGAAAAGTGGACCTTTTTATCCCCTGAGCTGAAACAACCTGAGAAACACCAATTAAATTAGAGATTATTATAATTATCATTATTATAACGACATGTTTTAACCAGGGCTTTTATTCTTTTATTTACAGGCTCACAGTTCTGTCAGAACCAATCAGAGAAATCTTCAATGTGTTTTCAAAGCATTGGCTTCATCATCAGCATGACCGTTCTGGGATGCATCATTGTCATCCTCTTCGTCATCGTGACAGTGTTGACCATTAGATACTTCAGAAGTCGCCCAAACACTACCAAGAGCGTTAAAAAATCCAGGGATTCTAGATCAAGGCCCAGATCTGTCCAAAGAACGGTTTAAATGGAACCTAAGTTTGTGGACTATTAATTCGTTATAATTTTGTGATGTGATGATGTCAAGCGGTGGGACGTAGTTACGACAGTTTTGTACTGAGAACTGTTTTAAGAAACTTTTGTATGACGGTGAAGAGAAAAGTTTTTAAGATTATTATTATTATTATTATTATTATTATTATTATTATTATTATTGCGTTTTGGTCTTTTTGGTGGCAAAACACTATGGTTTTGTAGAGTCTTATGATAAATGATATTAGATTCCCCTTCCTTTTTCAGACTGTATTGCTTATTTTCACCATTGCTCGTAATGTATATAATATAATATGATTAAAGATATAAGGGGTGGAAAACATGATGAGATAAACAATTCTCAAAATTATTTTACAATCTGAAAAATTGATTCTTGTATAGCTTATTTTAAGATTCTCTTTTTTACGTGGATGTAGGTCTATGAGTTGTGAAGGAAGGGCTTATAGAAATCCTTAGTTTTATTTTCACTTTTTAAGTGTTTTAGCAAGCTCGTAGTATTTATAGTTTATCCTGTTGGGTGCTAATTTCACGTCTTTCCATGAATAATATTTTTGTATTCAAGACCACCACTGGTCGCATAGCTGTTGGGACCAGTCAGGTCAACGTACGCGTGCCAATGGGACACGAAAGTTTCATCCTTCTCGTGGAGATATCCAAAGAATATTATGTACATATACACCATATATCATTTTGACATTGGTGGGTAAATTGAGACATAATTGACTCTTACTTTACCTCGCATGAGGACCTGGACGATCGGGTAGCAAATCTTCATCTGGTCACGCGATTTAATGTCACAAAACATTTTGGAACCGGTGTCCCCACATTTCCGTACTGCTGCACGCTATGCGTTCATCGGTTCATTCAGGTCAGCGACCGCATTGGTATTGTGGAATGAAACAAACACGAGCTTCAAAACAAATAAACGATCAAACGAATAAATAAAAAATCATGGGTTGCTTTTGTACGTTATTCATTTAGTAATGTATTAAAAACTATGCATCAACGAAAATGAAGAAATATTGAAACATTATCACACGAGGTAACGTCCAACTCTTGGACAGTACCAATTTTGTCGAGCAATGTGGGTGCGAATATTGCAAGGATTATATGCCTGGAATCAGTCTCTTCTTCGTAATATCACTTGATATAAACTAACCAGGAACATAAATAATAAATATATTAAAATGTCTCGTCGGATCTGCTTTCACAATTCATGCTTCATAAAACGACCAGAGACCTGAGAAGGACATTTCAGTTATAATGGCGAGTTGCCTTGAATTTTCAAGTAGGCTAGCTTTTGATAACACCGATTTTAGAAGTGAGAATAGGACAACGCTATACTACTAATATGAAAGGGTTTGAACGAAACTCGTCGACTCTGAATACAGCATGTCCACCGTAAAACTAGACCCATTGAAAAACAATTGACAGGAGAACCCAGTGTATCGAGACCTTGTATGTCACCATTTCTGAATCTGAATAAGTCAACGTCGTAGGGCCGTAGACAAGACAAGTCGTTTTCTAAATGGAATACCTTCTAAAGATTAAGGGGAATAATTGTTTCCCGTAAAATGGTTTTAGAATAATAATAAAAACAGGTTAAAAAAACTCCCTTTTTATAGCCATTATTCTTCTGTGTCACTCTTTTTCGACTTTAGAATAAAAATCTTTGGCCCCTTTCCCATGCGCAGGTATGATAGACTACTTAGGCTACTACAGCATGAAAATGAAAGTAATTAGCGTTTTTCCCGTTGTGAAAAGGTACAATTGTTGCAGCGCAGTGCATCTCAAACTTCCACTAGAGCACTATAGTAGAGACGACTTTCTCGTCATAATGGAATTCCTCGTTAAAATACAAGAACACAACTCATACTTTATTTTTCAATGTCAACGATTTATTAGGAAAAAAATAGACATAAACAAACATGGAATGGCGCCTTGGCTTACTGTTACTGGTTTATTTGGTATTGGCAAATAACCAAACCTGACACTGTCTTAAGGTGAACGCAATAGTACTGAAAAGATTAAATAATTTGACTGCTGATAGGTTATAAGAACTGAAAAATACGGAGACTGTTAAAATAAATTAGAGATTACCTTGAATGCTAATTTTGTTTAAAAGTACTTGTAAAATACAGACGCATTAAAAGACAATCCACAATCATAATAATGCTTATTACTGCTTTTCAGAAAGCATTAGTTAAAACTTTTCATTGAATAAAAAAGAATCCAAATGTTTAAGTCATTCCATTATTTGTTCTACATTTTATCACTTTATGATAATCTTTGACCAAATAGACCCCAGTCTTACCTAATGCAACCAAAAGATGGAAATACTATATAATCACCTCATTAAACCTTAAATGTCTTTAATTATTTTCACCTGATCATAAGGCCATTTGATTAAACACCATGCAAAACCATATATAATAATAAATAATAAGTTATGATGATCATAAATAATGAAGACATCTCATTGAGAGGCCTTTTTTAAATTAGGTATAATTGATGACTTATTTGTTATCATGCTAATGATTCAAAGTGAGTATTGGAAGGAGCGCCTCTGACTGGTGATTTTTTGGTATGCAGGCAGATATATCAAATTATACACTACTTTTATAACTCTACATATGAGGAAACAGTAAGAATGTTGTAATACATGGGAGTTCCCTATATTTACTTCAAAAGTAACATTTACTGGTCACAACATTGTTCATTGTGAAGTATAGCCAACGTTATTTGTGTCTAACATAAATAGCTTCACATAGGGGAGATTATGACAACTTCTGTTCTTCTGCCTTAATAAATAAATAAATAAATAAATAAATAAATAAATAAATAAATAAATAAAATAAAAAAGTACTGGGTTGAAAAGTGACCCACCTGATGGTCTACTATGCAACATGTTCTATCTACACTGCCATCATGAAGCCAAAACTACAACTTTTTTTTTAAGAAACAGCTCCTTATAAGTACAGAGAGCAGCATCATAACCAGTTATTTTACACACAATACACTTTTTACTGTTCACTTTCTTGCCACAAAGGGCACTAAAAATTAAACACCTACCTACTGGAAAGTGTGCCTCTAATATTTCAACTAACATATGCTGTAAACCAATATTTAACACAATTAACTTTTAAGTCAGTAAAACTATCAACAAAAAAAATGACTATTAAAAAAAGAAACTTTTTTTTCAATCAAAGTAACTACCAACAAGCAAGGGAAAATACCACTTCATGAAAAGATATGAAATGAACCCCAAAACTGGTGTAAAATTTCAACAACAACATTACATTTAGTTGTGCATTTTAACTGAAATGCATAGCTGCAGTGATGCTGGAACATTTCTACAAACTTCATCATGTCTCCACTAAAATTTACTTCACTTGTTACCACCATGAGATTATGCTGCAACCATAAAACAATAGCTCTGTGAATGAAGTGCAAGTAACCTTACTCTAACCAGAGAAAAAAGACATGACCCATACGCGTGCCAAGGTGCTAATCATAAGAATGGAAGCTCTCCAGTAAAAAGAAGATTGGCTTTCTTCGATCAAGGAAGGTTGACATAATCTTGTTGGAAATTGAAAGGGCATTCGCTGCTCACCAAACTGTATATCTAACATAGCCATGAATGTGGTCAGTGCTGTTCACAATTGACTTCAATAATAATAATAATTATGAAAGAAAAATACTGATATTAGTATTTCCCCTATGCCACACACTGTGTTCAAGCATAAAAAGTGAAACAAAAACAACAATAAAAATGTCAACAAGAACAATCCAGCAGTTCCGTCAATTTTATAAAAAAATCCTTTCCAGGTGGACTTTTCTTAAAAATACATTATCACCGACTAGCATCTATATCCTGATCACCTCTTCTCTATTGACATACTATTTTTCAAGTCCCTTTTAGGTGTGATCTCAAACAGCGCTGCTCTGTTCTGCTCCTCTCCTCGTTTCACCCAATGTCCATAGATTTTAAAAGCACCGCCATCTATGATTTTCCTGAATGCTTTTATGGCATAGGGATCATTGCATACAGTCTCTAAGTTGATGGGTGGTGGATGTGTGCGCAGTCTTTTCAAACGTATAAGTGCTTTTACTGCCATACCTGCAGCCTAATGTAAGAAGGGATAAAAACAAACCTCTGATAATTTTTAATTCAAATGTCCAAGAGTTAAAAGGAAAAAAGGGCCCATTTACAGTATTCATAATAAATCCTTAGGTATACACTTAATTTATCATTTTTAAAAATCAATATCAGGTGTTTGAGTATATTTATATATATGGAACAAAAGCTTTGATAAAACTTACCCTGAATACTCTCAAAGGATAAAATGTTTTCTTTTCTAGAATCTGAAAACAAAGGACAAAAATGAACAACCATAATTGATATACTAAAACAGATGTCATTATCACTTCAACTTTAAGCTGCAGTGTTATAATCTTAGTTCAAGAAGAAATACTGCAATGTCTTTTATAGAAATGTCGTGGCACCTTAGAGTTTCAGTGTTTTGTGTAATTAATTTAATATACAATTGTGTATTAATTTGTTATCAAACAAATTTCTTACCGTTCTACTGAAGAATTCATGTGCTAAGACTTCTTTGGATGTCAGTCTATTAGAGGGGTCAACCACTAGCAGCTTTGAAATCTAAAATAATAAAGGCATCAATTTTACTTAGTCAAAAGTGTCTACAAAAGTTGACCCAAAATTTGTTTGAATTTTAACTAAGACTATAATTGTAAATAAAGACAAATATCAGGTAAGAAAAAGAATTGAATTTTACTAAGAATGGTTCACTTTCAAAATTTATCCACATCAACTATCCACATGTCAATACAAGAGATTTAGACACGGCACAGCATCAAAGCAGGCAGAATACATTTCACTGCCCAAAGCTCAATGCCCCTAAATCATCACAATCAGATTGCATTGCTAAGCCATCACAATCAGACTCTGCATTGAGAGCACATCTACTGCATTCACATAGATCAAGCTACAAAGCACTTGGGGAAAGTCTTCTTTAACCAGCCCTAGGACCCAGGTGAGAATGCAATTTTTTGTCTGTTCACATCAACTTTAACTTGAAGCATTTCAGTTTTATATATATGGTCCCTAGCAAGCAAAATGACTTATCACTGGTAAATTTGTGGTTTGAGCCTGACCTCGAAAGAAAGAAACTTAAGAAATAACCTTTTTATTGCTTCACCTTATCATCTCACAGCCAGACTGAAAACTAAAAGGGTTCAAGTTAAAACTGGTGTGAAGAAACTGTTAGGTTAACTATATTAATGAAGAACTATAATAAGTAAACACATTCCTGAAAGGAATAAAAATGAAATGGAAGATAGCATATAGAAAAAAATTATAACAATGCATCATATGCAGTGGAGTAAGCAAAGATTCAGCTAGAGTGACATAATGTTGCAAAATATAGTCATTTAGTAAGTAGATTGGATTACTGACAAGAATCAAAATGCAACCAATTTGTTGATTGATTTTTTTAAACAAAAGTTTTGCTGAGAAAGGTGCTGTTCAATTAACTGACTGGACACTAAGAGCACCCATGTTACCCCCGTATACATTGGAAAAAAGTCATAAATATGTATGCACATCCCAAATGGGCAATGTAGGTTCTCAAAAGAGTTAGTAATTGGAGAAAAAAAATTCCTGAATTTTAATTACTATAAGATAAATATGTGGTAATAGATCTGAACTGCTACTAGCTATTTGAATTGATTCCATATACATTGTCTTGCCCCATAGCATTCCCAACTATATTCTAAAGCAGGGATTATATACATCACTCAACTAACCACCAGTCTCCAAAGTGAGACAAGTTCTTTAGATGAGTGAAGTTAGTAGAAAATAAGTGTGGTACTAGTATATATCTTTATATATATCTGCCGTGGCATGCCTCCGACCACCTCTCACCTCCTGATTGGCATTGTCGTCAGTAAAAAAATTGTGCGCAAGTGATTGTGTGGCAGAGAGCCTTTGTTTAGGGTCGGTTACTAACATCCTAGAGACCTAGAAGAAATGTCATTTTTGGTTAGGATTGGAAAGTCTTAAGTGAATATGGGTTTGGGTGGATGTCTTTCTAAAAACTGAAAACTTGTCAGTCGCATGTCTCTGTGAATGACATACACTTCAATTTCAAAAGAATATGCAGAAGCATTCCATCTGTGTCTACATTCATATGGGTTTTTAATAAGGGGAATTAAAAAAAAAACTCTATCTTCACTTACAAGCAAATAAAACTCAAATAAACAAATAGAAGGGAGAAATGAAGAACTAAAGACTGGGTACTTCAGTGCAAAATGTTAATATATACTAGAGCATGAAACAAGATCTTTCAAAGTAATTTTCAAAATTGTGTTAACTTGCATAAAAATAGCAATTTTACAACACTCACTATAATAAAAGAAACAAACACAGCTTAAACCACAAATGCCAAGGCACTGTACAAATCATTAGGAAAAAAGCTTTCATTTTCACAGAAGAGAAGCAACCTACTGCAACTCAGCTGCAGAACGAAGCACAACGTTAACAGTAAATACGGCTGATTTGAATTAAGCTTTAGTCATAAGTGATATACAACCTGGCATAAATGCAAGTAAATGCCCAACTCTTAAGTTAAATGGTGAGGCATACATGATATACGTATGTAAATGAAAATTCCCCTGATTAAGGTATAGCACATGATATCATAACCATGTTTCTACTATTTGATTTGATTTTTAAAATTCATCTCTTTTATTCAAATACCACGAAAGCAAATATTGGCCAGCTGATACAGCACTTATGAACAAGGGCTTTTCATACACAAAGTTGAAGAAAGTTTCTCCTAAATGTGCCATTTATACATACCAGGTCCTTTGCAACTTCACTAATATCATCCCACTCCGGACTACTAAACTTGTAGTTTCCATCCATAATAGCGCGCAACATATACATTTGCTTCCTATGCCAAAAAGGAGGGCATCCTACCAGTCTGAAAATAAATTTTAGATGAAAATGAAATGAATACCAGACCAAGCTATACAGCAATAATATACTAATTCTAGGAGTGATTCCAAAGTATTTTCATACCAAAAACATTTTTTGCCACGTAAAACCACTACTAGCCACTACTATCCATAAAAAATTAAAGGAGTTTATCATAGGTATAACTGTACATCATTTCTCCCCCTCACTTTACCTAAATGATAACAAATTCAGGATGGGGAAAATTATGACGGAATGAAAAATAACTGTAGAATGAGCCTTTTACTTTTATAAACTGGCAAATGAAATAGGTAATTGATTAATCATAAAACTTTTGTATGAGAGCAGACAAACTTAATATAATATTATAAGATAATATTATGTCTATGAGTCAAAATTTGAGTAAAATCTTATTTTTTCAACCTAAAATTTTATCTTTTATGTATTTCATTTATAACTGTAATATTGTCCATTTCTTTCTTTTTCTAAATAATTATCACAGCTCCACAATATGGAATGAATCATCCTTTTTTATTGTTACCTTTCTTATCATAAGGAGATACAATGATTAATATGTCATAAAAACTTCACAAGTTCCACTTTAGGGCATTTCATATCTAATCTGATAAGAGGCTAAATTATAGCCTCAATCCTCAAATCATCACTTAACAAACTATTATTATTATAATTAAGTACCATGCCTGCATCCAGAATACATATATCAAATCATACTTACAGAGTATACATGATAACACCACAGGCCCACCTGAAAGACAGATATATATTAAATAATATATTGATTAAACACATTTGAAACAAAAAGCTGAATAATATATATTTAAAAGAACTTGACAGCAGCATTTGCACAAATATGTGAAAAACAGTACTGCTGTTTGGATTTTCTCTCGCTTTGTCATGGTATCATAACAAGCAATAAAGCAATAGAGCAATAAAAAATAATATAACAGTTTATTTATTTGAAATTTCAAGATTCTGCATTTCAAGGTACAGGTTTTAATTACAAAATGTTCTTTCTGACAAGGACCCAAATCACTTTTCTCAACTTAGCATTGGATTTCTGTGAGAAATAATTAAATTAACAATAATAAATAAATAAATAAATAAATAAATAAATAAATAAAAAGGGTGTCTGCAATCTGCATAATCCATAAATTACAAAATGCACTTTCTGATTCATGAAACAATGAGTTGACTTAAAGATGATCATTTCCATATGGGATAACATCTACTCACATGTCAGCTGGTTTGCCGTATCCTGACACATCTTCAAACATGGACACTTTCAGGACTTCAGGCGCAAGATACCCTGGGGTGCCACATAAATCTACAAACCATTCAGAAATAATATATATATATATATATATATATATATATATATATATATATCATCAAAGACTATCAACTTTCTAATATGAGGTATGAGGGTATGTTTTAGTCAGTATCTATTGCCACTTACAGCATTTGGCTGTGGTCTGACATCTTAATCAAAAGAAGGTGTCCTTTAAAAACCAGTATTCATTTGTCATCTTCTATGGATAGCCAGGGCATCCTATACACTTCCTACAGGACTTGTCTTATCAGTTAGAGGAAATGACAGTGGGCACATCTTATGCATGACAAAAGCAAATGATTCACGTACATAAACTCTGTTTTTGGTAAAGGAGATGGTTGACTCAGAGTCAAAAGTGCAGATCTTTAGTTAAATGACCAAATCTAAGTGTCGAGAACAAATGCAGGTGTAATGTTTAATTAACATGTAATTTCACAAAGTATAAAGACATCTCCTAATTGGCACTATAAAGTGATGATGATTAGAGGACACAGGCAAGTAATACCAATTACATGTTCCACAATGCTAAATTAAAGAAGACTAATATCTTAAGGGGGTACCTGAGAGGTACCTCTGCCCCAGATGTAATCAGTTTACTTATTATTCTCACAACAAAATTTAACAATTTGACTCAATATTAATTGAAATATATCTACTAAAATTTTTAAAGCATTTTTATAAATTTCCTTTTATGTTCAATATAAACTTGACTTTTCCCACTTATTCAAATTATAATAACAAAAATAAATTAATAAAAATAGACTAAATAGTAATAATTGCAGTTGGACCAACATTTTAATTACTTACCAAAGAGTTCATTGTCATTACTAACAACTGTGGCAAAACCAAAATCTGACAACTTCACATTCATATTATCATCTAAGAGGATATTTTCTGGCTGAAACAGAATAATATAAATAATATACTTAAATTTATTTATGTTGAAGAAAAATGAAAACATCTGAAGTAGGGTTTGTTTTGGAAATAAATTTACAAACAATCATAATATGGTAAATATCTAAGCAAACTACTATAAAACATTTTCCCTACACTGATGTAAGACAATAAATACCTTGAGGTCTCTATGAACAATATTCTTGTCATGTATAAACTCTACAGCATCAAGCAACTGTTTCATGACGATTCTGAAATGGAAAATAATATAATTCTAAATTTAATATTAAGACAAATGAACTTTTTTTGTTTCTTTGAACATGTCTACTTGGTTAAAATGACATACCAATCTATATGATGCAGTGCTTACAACATTTCAAAATAAGACGTTTCTTGCTACATAAAAAATAACATCAAAGCCACAAAGAGGTCTAAAATATAAAATAAATTAATAACTTAAATTTTAAAAAAATAGTAATTTCCCATAGAAAAATGGATAAATACCTTGTTCTTTTTTCTGACAATGTGACTACCTGATTAAGGTAGTCAAATAACTCTCCTTTCTTGCATCTAAAATTAGAAGAATGACTATCATAACCTTTTCACAAATATATATATATATATATATATATATATATATATATATATATATATATATATATATATATATATATATATATATATATATATATATATATAATAAACTACACTACCTGATATCCTGTGTGGTTCTAATCATGATAAAGTCATATATAAAACAATGCAAAAGCAACCACAACTGGGTGTTGTGTCAACACAGGGATCATATCTTTTACAGGGTATATATCATATACCATTACAAGGCATAATTTTGTTTAAATTACCAAATAATAATAATAATAATAATAATGTTTTTAAAAACTTACATTTCAAATACCAAGAAGATGAAGGTAGGAGACTCAAAAACATCATGGAGTTCAACTGCAAAAGTAATTAAAATAATAATAATAATAATATATTGATTTTCAGTCTAACAGGTGCTTGAATTATATCCTTAATTAATTCTGAGAAGGAAAACTGCATATTGTAGAATTTTATTATTTGTCATTTCCTTGTACAAAAGCTCTGACTACTAAAGTTCCATTACTTCCATACATCCTTTAGTGTTCAAACCATCCTCATTTGGACCTGTTCCAAAACGAGTACTGATGCCCTGTTACATGTACCAAACCAGCACATGCTTAATTCCACATTTGCTACTATATGATCTACCCCTTTTTGCCACAGAAATTATAATACAAAAGTCAAAGTCACCTTCATCAGAATATGGGGGTGTAAATGTATCATAGGCAAGAATCATTTTCACATTATAAATGTGTTACAGGGAAAACTATTTATAACGACTAGTAGAGTGTGGTTTTGTGCAGTTTGATACAGGACTTGTTGAGATAGAGAAAGGATATCTTAAATGCTAAGTGTTATGTGGGCTGGTCTGGTTAAGTGAACATAGCAGTCAGGCAAAATTAAAGAGAGATGACTCATTTTTAGTTTTCATCCTCCCCCACAGTATTGCTTGACTTTGACACAGTATACAAAAGATAATCAATTCATAATTAAGGAAATTTTTTTGGTTATTTTTTCAAAAGAGGTAATGCACAATCTGATGTAAGTCCTACAAATTGTTTTTAAAAATAACTTTCACAGCTGATGAAAATAATACCACAGTGTAATTCACTAAAATAATCCCCGGGCAATGATTCAGATATACATTAATTTCTTCATATTAACAGATGTGAGCTCTCCATACAGAGACATGGATATAAAACAATGCTTCACCATATTCACACTGGCCAGAATAAGGGGTTTATTGACCCATTCAAGGTGACTTCTATACAGGATACTTGTGCCAATGGTTTGCCAGGTAACACATACTAGTACATGCAGGCATATATTATATACAGATACCAAAGAGGTTACACCAGATAACAGGATATTTTATATCAAGGAAGTGCTGAAGTTATCCCTATAAGTGAATGCATACCACTCTGCTATGTAATATACATGAGAGAACAGCTGCTGGAGGGGGGTGGGGGAGCACATTACATCCTTGTTCATTATTCATCAATGGAAAATTTAAGTGGTCTTCCCGTGTGTCTGTTGTATTAATAATAAATTAACTGTGTGTGTGTGTGTGTGTGCGTGCGTGCATGTGTGTGTGTGAACGAAAACTATATTTTTCCATCATTCTCTCTTTAGGTATAAAAAATTAATTATCCACTTTGTCTCACACCTCTTCCTATGAATGATTAAATAAGGCTTACTTATATGTGGGTGGCCCGCACACATGCGCAGAATGTTGATTTCTTTCTTTGTTGCAGATTTTAATTCTTCTGCCTGATGGTCTGTAGACTTTTCACAGCTTATGTCTATAATCTTTGCAGCAAATTCTCTACCAGTTGATTTCTCTTTCACTCTTCTCACCGTACTACTGACCCCCCTGAAATAAAGAAAACAAATATGGCTAGTACCCACTTGATTTAAACAAAATTAACTTCTTACATTTCCCATAACATACAGTTTTCTTGGTAAATCCTAAATTTAAAAAATGATTAACAGGTACTATTAATCATGTGCGATTCATGTAAGTGTTTTAGTTTCTTATACTGATAAATACTGAAAATAATAATTCTTATATAAATAAGGTGTTTGAATCATTAGTTGTTGTAGTTAGGGAAACAATTTGGTCTAATATCATAGTGTTTAAGATTGACCGGAACTTCCTTTTTCTTTAAAGTTCTAAGGACATGGTCTCTAACAATTATCTCAGCTTAGCTGTAAACTTACTCAAGAAAAAACTCAGCCAGATTTATGTGTAGTCTAGGTACACAATTTTACATACTTCATTTAATATTCCAAAGCAGAAACAGCAAAACCTAACTGAATCACAGGTTAAATGGTGACAAAATCCCATTGCTTACATCTTACTTCAAGCTATATTAACTTACGTAGATTCCACTTTACCACAAGCATAACACATTGTATTTTCTAATTGTTCTACTAGTCTCTGCTTAAAACTTTTCATGCAGGGATCCTGCAGAAGTTTATAAACAGAAGGATGCTTTGAGGGTTGGGCCTAAATGCTGTATTTTGATTGGACAATAAACTTGGAGGTGTGTCAACGCGTCCTTATAATGGTAACAAAATGAATGTTTAGCCCAGTTTATATCCCATTCATTCAGATTAATGTCTGGACAAATCAGGGTGTTTTGGACATTAATCGTTTGTGTCCATTCTCAGGGCCAGCTGAAATGCCCCTCAAGGTCATGCATAGCCCATTATCGTGGGTTTGTTTTCAAATGATTTCTTAGCAGGATAACCACCACCTGTTATTTACATGTTTGTTTGCCGAGTGATGTAATAAGTGGCCTGTAATCATGTACCTACAGTGTTTACTTGTTTTGAGGGGCTCTAATAAATGATGTCCACTAGTCCAAGAATGATTCCTTTGTTTACATGCCTGGGAATTAATGGCTACTTATCATTGCATTGTGCCTAAAAATAACTTTTTGGATTGACAGGCTTTCATTTGTGTACACCTGACTCTAGGGACCCAGCATGATGCCCAGTAAACAAAGCCCTTAACATTTATTGAAAAAACGTGGTCAGAAACATAGCTGAAAAAAATTGGGTCAAAACTGCTGAACACTGTTACAACCCTCCTTCCTAAAAAACTCAGTTTGTCCTTGGTTACCTTTTATCTGAAAAGTGACTTTTTATCTCTTAATACAGCTGCTCTTGTATTGGATTCTAAATAGCTGTAAGCCTACAGCACTACGTGCCCCCGTACATTATCTTGGTGCTAAGTGAGGCTTAATCCAGACTCTCTTTACAGAAAGTAGTTTATCATACCGATTTTCATTGTCTGGATACACAGACTTGGATCCATACATGTATAAATCTCAGCTTTATAATATGCATGTCAAGGTGGGAATACCAAAAACCAAGACAAACCACATTATGGGTAAAAGTAAAGCCCTGCATTCAAGCATATCAGAAAAAATTATATTAAAAAAAGGGTGAATTTTCCATAAAAATATTAACTCAGCTTATCTGGACAGGCTGAAATGAACTTTTTGGATATTTTTTTTTGACAACTAGTTTTAAGGTTTATGACCTCCATCAAGGAGGTTATGCTTTTTGCCTTTGTTAACACCCTAACTCAATACATTACAGATAAATCAGATATTGACTAACTTTGAATCAATAACCAATTTTGGTAGTGACGCATAAATTAATGATAATAAATAAGTAACAACCAGAATTGAATAGCCTTGGCATAGGTCTGCACTATCTAATTGTGCTTTTCTAATTTTTGTTTAAGTTCTCAGATCACCTGTCCCTGTTGCCATGTGCCGCATTCCAATCCAAAACATACCTTCCAAGGATTTCCTTGGGTTCATAACGAGCATAAAACTCCTTTGCGACACTCTTGTCTGGCAAATCATGATCTGGTTCGTCCTCGTCGAATGCCATCCTGTGGTCAATGACATTGGATAGAAAGGCCAACGGATCTTTTTCAATCATTTAAATATAAACTTTGCCTATGCACCAGGTTCATATAGTAACTGTGCTATGATCCTGATTCTTTTCCTGGGTCTGACTGTGTTTGTGGTCTCCTGGGGTGAGGTCCATCCTCACTGGCACCACACCCGGTCCAGAGTAGCTGATCCTGACCTAGGAGGTCAACAGTTCAGGAAGTTTGTGGCACATGGCCCAGAACACATGCAGTGTATTCACGGATTACTCTTGGTGGTGGCATGTATCTGAAATCAAAGACGAAATAAATATAATACAAACACAGCTACAAACATCATGTGCTTTTGTAGAGTTTAACATAACATGTGCCCATTCTTTTTTCTGGAATTGGGTACAGCTGCCTACCTGAATATCAATTCTTATAGCTCACTGATGTCACCTGTACCAACTAATAATAACCAAACAGACATTAACATTCAACAGTTAATCTCCAAATCTCCCCTATAATTAACAACTGTAGTAGAAATGTCTCTAAAGGTGGGCTCCAGATGAAGGCAATGCTTCCCTGAATGGTTAGAAAAAGCAATTACTACGACTTAAATCAAACTGCTGTAATATCATTAATTTGACCTTTGGTACTGGGTGCATTCTTTATGTGTTGTGTTTACATGTACCAACAGTATCATTCATAGTAAACAACTCTCTTTCCAGTTGAAATGAGGACACACATGAGGGGGAAACATTAATAAATAAATCACTTGCTTGTTAAAGATGCCAATTAATGATTAAAACTGTTTTTCCAAGTGCCAATTAATGATTAAAACTGTTTTTCTATTCTTTACAGTTGAATAACCGATATCCACTGATGAAATGATAATTATATCATTAACTAAATCACATACTAGCATACTAAAATTTATCATAAAATTATCAAAGTTAATGGTACTCGGTCTAAACTTCACACTCAGTCTTTCTTTTTTGAGGCAAATTTAACTTCTCTTTATCATTCCAAAAGGAATATAAATTTTGGTAGCAGATACCCAGCAGCAGGAAAATACAAAACCAGGCAAAGGTCATTTAGAATTATTGGACCATGTTACATGTATATATATCATTGGGATGAACAGGTGACAGATAAACCTTCACTATGATGTTACCATTGGTAAATACCAATTTTAATTATAGACATTATAGGATAAACCTTCAGTAAATGACAACCATTACTAACACACTGCATTTACCTATTTAATGCACATAAATAACATGGTTAAACTTTGCACCTCTGCATTAATATGCATTCCCATTGCAGTTGCAGCAGAAAGTTTGTATTAGGCAGAACATGTTATTGTTATTAACCTCCTTGATAGATTAAAGTACATCAGTGTTTAGAATATTATCCATGGTGATAGTTGCTTGCACTAAGATCTAGTACAATATTGAACAACCACCATCTCCTAATGGTTTGTCAGAGTTTCAGTTTATTGCCCCCTTCTATCCAGCTGTGCCAGTGTTGATACTAGAACATGCACAGGTATCCCAACCATCCAGAGTTCATAGCACCAGAGGCACATGTTTAACTTAAATGTCATTAAAATATCGGGTACACCAGAATGCAAATAGACTACGATCCTTTTTTCAACAAACTTTTTTTTGCTACATTAAAAGTAAGAAACCCTATGTAAAGAGGGCAAATCCGATCCATAACTATTATCATGATAATGTACGCTTGTCGGTACAAAAAATCTGGATGCTACTAAAAAAACTAATATCATATACGCATGTCAGATTGAGAACCATAACTAGTAGTCTCCATCAGCAAGGTTATGTAATACACGTAGTTTATTAAGTAAGAAGGAAGTGCCAATACCAAGTTTAATCCCTTTACATCTTAGCAATTTTATACCTTACCTATGAACAGGCACTACAGGAGACTAAGGTTATCCAGATGTCAGTGATTGATACAAAACCAAGGTTTCTCTTTAACAAATGTCAACTTGAGGGCAGTCAATTTGGCAGTCTACTGGTCAATCATACTGCAGCATGTAGCCAAGACAGCAAACTATGCAGACTACTACTGAATTAAGATACATTTTGTATGCATTTAAGTCTGTTTCTGTAATGAGATAAGTACAGTAGTCTTTTTGGATCATACACAGTAAGGTTATCTTACTGAAATGCTTCATGATACAGAAACATAACAATATACTTGTTGTTAAACTAAACTGGTGACTGTGGATCTTTTGAAAGACTGAATATTTCAATAACTCAAATTCTTACAGGTAAAAAAAAATCTTCACAATAAAATGTTTTTAAAGTGTTCACAGCATTCATATTATACACAATATGCATACCGTGCCAAAAGGTATCAACCATGAATCTATTCATTTAAATTACAGCATGCACTTGGCACCAGTAAAAAATTCCCATCATTTTTACTACACAATGCCCTTCATCGCTTAACTGCTGCATTTTTGTAGCATGCAACTGCACCTATTCTTTAAACCACAATTACGAAGATGAAATAGAGCACCTGTATATCTTGGTACTTGTGGAGTTAATTGCTGATTCATGTGTCTTCAAAAAAGGAAAAATACTTCATATTTTGAAATTGAATATTGAAGTTATTATCTAGAAGTTGAAGAAGCTAATGGATATGGTTGTAAATTCAATTATCAACCTGTATTTGGCAACATAAACATGCTGAGAAACCCATTGCATTTTATATTGCAGGCATAATCTTTGTTATAAAAGGAGGAATTTTAGCCTGCATTGGTTTATAAGCTATAGCAAACATCCAATATAAAAGATGCCACATATAGGGGTCCAGACATTCTAATTGGTTTAGGGTTAAACGCTCCATACTCTTCCCTCTTTCTAGGTCATTTCCCAAATTACTCAATAGCATATATTGACCCAGATGTAAAACCTAGCTGCACTAACAACCATACTTAAAAGTTTGCTTTCTCACTGACATTTATATCTTAGTAAAGGAATAGCTCTCTGTTAATGCTAAATCTAATGCTGGATCTATTAGATATACATCTGTGGCTCCATCAGACTAATCTAATTTATACTTGGTATATAGTGGTAACCAGACATATTTTGCACGTTCAGAGCACAGGTGTACTGTATGTACAGGTAAAAGTATTGGTAGGCTACTGACACAATACATCATACATATATATCCGCCTGCTGAACATAACCTTGCCAATATAACAGCTACAGGTCTTTATAACTCTGCATTTCAAAGTGTTGGGTAAAATGCAAGAAATGAATGCTACAGTATTGAGCATATCTAGCCTTTTTCTTTAATTTTGATGCACTATGATAAGCTGAAATTGACCTAACATAAGAGTTTATCAATCTTGTCGTTCTGTAATAATACTGTATTTTTCACTTATATAAAATCCCTTGTTTCAACATTCTTTGATGTATATCTAATAAAGCGCATCAGCCTTAAAGCCTTTGTAGACTAGAGGCATTGGTCTATATACATCTAGAGAAAAATCAATACAGAAGATACTATTTATTTTCTGTGCAGACAGCACTGTCTGTAGTTTGTCTGGTTGGCATCAAATAAAAACAAAAGCCCCACCAGTGTTTTAAGATTGACAAATTAAGATAAGCTTAGAGACATACATGTATGTTTAATGTCACACTAATGAGGTATTAGTCTTTAACTCCATATACACTGGGCTTGTGATTACTTGGAAAATGATGTTTGGTCTACTTTTACTATTGGTCTGAGGGCATTCTCTTGAGGTGGGAAGATGGTGTCCTGAACGTTCTTGATAATCACTAAAGTTGTATCTTTGTTTCCATCATCAGTCAGCTACATGTATGTATGTATCTGGGGTAGCGCTAACACTCATCAATTTAGCGAAATGCTAAAACTGACTTCAATTGGCTAAAGGAAAAGGGCTTGATTTGACATGTTTTAGCCAAATTATAACCATTTTGATAACAAATTGACAAAAATGTGGTGATATGGCTAAGCGAAAAAAAAATTGCTAGCGCTACCCCAGTGTATGATAGTGTTCAAAAACTTCTATAGCAAAAAGTTATTTCATTATGGCATAATAAGGTCTCTAGAGTCTCATGACACTCCCTGATGAATCTCACAGGTCATAAAAATCTACTAAGATGCTCAGCATGCAGTAGCATCTGGGCATGTAACATTTGATAATAGCCTTTCTTCTGTACTGGTAGTAAGCATATCAGAGAGTTAACTTCAAGCCTATCTTAACCACACAGCAACAAACTCATGTGCAGAGGGCTGTCTTAGTGCTGGAGATATAGTGAATGCAAACAGGCAACCAAGCCAGAGAAGTACTTAGAAGTATGAGGTTACCAAATCTGCCTGGTTTTAGTGGCTGTAGAACTTACTAGAAGGCTTGAAGGGTCGCGGCTCCCATCAAGTAATTTTTTTTTTTTTTTTGCAATGTAGTTATCAAGCAATTATCAAAAACCTTTTGAGTGTCTCTTTAATCAATCAATGTATTGAGATAACAGGCGAGCTTAGTATTCTATATATCCTTAGAACACTATTAAGTGACTATATAGTATACACTACATTGTGCAGTTAAGTAGTAATGCCAATGTATTTTTCTTACTACTCCGTTTGAGACAAAATCATATGAGCATTCCATAAAGACAACTTTGTCTATCTATATACAATTGGACTGTAAATCATTTAACATTATTCAGCATACTGCAGCATACGCCCCGTTGTTTATATCAAGTAATAAAACATGAAAAGTGGGTGATACTCACATCGACAGATTTCCTGTCCAAAAGCTAGTACTTGATGGCAGCCGTTTTACGTCACTCTTACCTTCGACATGACATTTTGACCTATATATTTTCTACACTTCCTATGTTGCAAACCCCGCTCATTAAGAAGGATACACAAGCTGCTAACTTCGTTCTAAAGATTTTAAGTCTCGTTTGCACAGTTGCAGTAAAATGTCGTAGTAATTTGCAAAGTAATATCACTTTGGAAGTCGTTAAATGGTAGTCACATGATCAGAAAATGGCGACGCACGTGAGATGATAGCTTGATTTGCTGCAAGGTATGTGTATCAGAATGAAAATTTTTAGATCTAGATTTATTTTTCAAAACTAAGACTGCTTGATTGGTTTTATGCAATCTGGTGGCTACATTCGTTTACGTGAACTCAAAGCATATGCTAATGCAAAAAAGCATTGTGTGTGTCCAGGTTAAGCAAGTTAATTAAAACAAAATTTTAAGTTGACGTTATATCTAGGTCTTGACGTTGATTGATCTACATTTGATACAACTTGTTGCATCTATTGTGCGTTCAGGCAAACTACGGAATATGAAAGTGTTAAAACGTCTGTGCGGTAACCTGTTTTTAACATGTTGATGTGATTTTATTGAATTCAAGGTGAATATATTTCTTTCCTTATACAGTGCACATTGCACCAGTATGATCCAGGCAGACTGATAACAACTGTTTTTGTAAACCACAAGTTCTGTTATTGATGCCACAATAGAAGTAGCAGTAGGAAGATCAAATGGCGACTCATGTCAGGTGAGTGTAAGTTAGCAGGATGTCAGCGCAATGAAAAGAAATTGATTACACGTACATACTGTATACTAGTACATGTACCATTCTGATTTTTATTTAATATTCAGTTGTAAAAATCAAATGATATACTACCAGTAGGAGCAGTGTTTAAACAGTCAAAATGGCTAGAACTGATTTAATATTGTTTAAAAACTTTAAATTCAACAATTTGTATTTTCAGCCCGGAGGCACAGATGTTCTTCATCTATGACCACACCTACCTGCAGAAAGAGGAGGATGACCTGAAAGATGCCATCATTTATTTTGCACCAAATACTGTAAATATTTCCTGATATTCAGTGTTAAAAATGTTTATTATTTGGGCCTGTGTACCTTAACAATTATTAAAGTTTGGCAGAATTTTTTAAAGCTGAAATATTGACTAATCTGTGATGTAATATTTCCCCTTGGAAAAACTATTTATTTTGAGCAGTAACCACTTCCAACAAGTCTAAGGCTTAATTTGTCTCAAATTCTAGTTTTCTTGACTTGCTGACAAGTTGTTCAGTATTTTTCATAATAGAGGTTAAAAGCTAAAAGATCAAAGGTGTTTTAGATACTGTTGCCCATTTTGATTTATATCCTGTTATGCATATATATATATAGTTGAGTCAAAAGTTGAAAGAGGAATGAAATACTTCTAGGTTGACATCAATGAGCAGTGTGCCTTGTGTGGCCAGTTGATGGGAATGGTGGGATTCTTCAAACATTTTACTGGGACAACACCTAAGTTTTTCAGGCTTCGCACAGAGGTGTTTGTTGTGAAACATGTTGGGAAATATACCTTGGTATGTTTTTTTTTAAATTTATTTTGTTCATTATGATAGAATTTTTGTAGAGCGATCGATTTTTCAAAAATTGCACCTGGTGGATTTATTTAAGTGCTTTAATAAAACATCAATGAGATCATTTCAACTTTGTGAATAAAGATATATGCATCTGAAGTGAAATGCGAAATTATAACAAAAGAAGATAGAATGTGAAATAGCAAATAAGGGGTATAGTAGTGAGTGCCAAATGATACACATTCTAACAAATCAACTTGCAAATGCTTTTCTCATTTACTTATTTCACTTACGTCACAGTTACATGATGAAGCTGTGGAATTTACATGTACAAGTATCTGTTATTGTAGCTTGTATCTTACGTTATTCCCCAGGCCATGGCAGGAGATCTACAGGAACCAGAGGCTTCACTCAAGAAGAAATTAGATAACCTTTACACTTGCTTTGTCTTTTTTATGGGAAATTTGGAATTACTATTTCAGGTGAGTTAACTTGATTTAACTGGTAAAACAGGACATTCCATTTGTTTGTATACAATTTTAAGATGGCATCCAGTTTTCAATGTATAAATCCTAACGTGAATTTAAAAGCAATAATACACAATCAAAGGTTCATAATTTTTATGTACTGACATTATTTATGTCAAGAGGAGATATGAGATATTAGATGATTTACTCATTGATATTATCTTAATTTTGTAGCTATGTGATGGTGAAAGAGACAAATTTGTCTCCAGCATGCAGGCAGTGTGGGATTGTTACTTGCCATTCTCCAGGTTTTATGGGGATGCTGTGTCGGCTGCTTTTGAATCATTGCCGGTCATCGAACTACCAAAGGTGTTGAAACCATTAATGTGTCTAGGAGATTTCTGAAAAAATATTACCAAAAGAAAACTTTGCTTACGATCCCTGGCATGATTTTAATATATTGTCTTTGTAGTTCTAGAATTCATGTGTTTCTAAGTAGCAGTGTTTCACTTTGCCATCAGTTACTTCATGTAAGATTTAGGAAAATATTCAAGGTGTATTTATGAAGTATATTTTACTAATTGTTTTTTTTTTCTAATTCAGTCTGGATCTAACTTGTTCGTCAAAGCATCTAGCTTGCTGCAGGCCAGTCAAAGAAGACCAGGAGTTTTGGCAGGATGTCTACTCTTTAAGAACAGGTATGTATTAGAAGTATCTTAGTTCTTCAATATTGAGCCATTAGACAAGACTCTCAGCGTGCAGTGAAGTTTCAATTCAAAAAAGAATTATGTATACTCCACATGAGATAAACTGTTAAGGGTTACTGCAGTTTTGTAGACTGTTTTATTGTTTTCAGTCTGTTTTTGTTTCTGTGTTTGAATATAAACACTGTTATTGAGCCATTTCCAAACATGTGGAATGTAGCAGCATAAGGTGTCTTTGCATGTTTCTTCTCAGTCAAGTATTTGCCACACTATACTTGTGTTTGAATTTTTAGGGTACTAGTAACACAGCTGTCTCAGGATCTTACCGCCAGGCTGCTGCTTATTAAACCGCAACAAAGTCATGTATGTATTTTTTTAATATATTGATTTGCTTTAATCTTTAACCTATTCTGATGATGTAATATGAAACTTATCGTATAAGTTATTGACAATTTTTAGAATATTAGGTACTTTATATACTTTTTCTGTGGCTTGCTGAACACTAGTCCATTCTTTTCTTTTTTTATTTTATTTTATTTATTTATTTATTTTTTGCTGTTAATTTCTTGCAGATTTTTTTTTAATCACAACATATGTTATTTTTAATTCCAGCTTCCATGTCAAATATTTGAGCCAGGTGAGGTTGAAATTCTGTCTCATTTACTCAGTGATTCATCTTATATTGTAACCTTAAGAACATCTCATACAGGTTTTGTGTCCAGAACCTGATTGCTTTTTCTTCAAATTAAAATGGCAGTAGTGATGGAAAAAAAATTAATGCTTTCAGTCCTGTTGAAAAACATATACCTTAATTATTAATATAGCAAGTCATTAATGCATTTATTTGAATGAAAATTTCAGACTTCAGCCTCCCCAAAGGTGTGAGAATTCTGTCAGTGTACTTGACAGTGGAAGAATTTTTCAGCGTCACACCGTGGTTGACCAAAGTCGGGCGGCGGCACTATGCTACCACAGACTTCAGAAAGATTGCTAGAGATATTCGTTATAGTGCTGGCATAGATGTATTCCGCAGCAGCAGTGCTGGAAGCCAGGGAACTGTAGGCAGTAGCACAGATACAGGGTCTGACTCCAGCAAGTCGCCCCCTGGATGTGGAAATAACATGTCAGACTCTGTCACGGAGATAACATGTACTTTGTGCAATACGCCTGTGCAAGGTGGGTGTGACTCTGAACACAATGCTGATGAGCTCAGAAACAGCGCTGGTAGTGTTCAAAGAATGGTGCAGCTACAACGAATGAGGGACACTTCCCCATCTATGTCTGATTATTCCAGTGTATTTAACTCCCCACAAAGTGTTTCGTCAGCTTCTTCAAACTGTGATATGCAAGGACAAAAAGAGGAATGCGAACGTCAGCTTGTGGATGAAGAAAATTGTAAAGACTCCAAAAGACAAACCTGTATCAACCTGGTGAAAGAGAGATTTGATTTGGCCCAACCATCCTCTGGTGATAAGCTGATACCTTCAGAAGCAGATGAGAAAGACCAGTCTAGAGTTTCTTTTATCAGCACTGACTCTGAAGTCAGCTTTGCAGAAGTAACTACAGAACCTTCAGTTGGAAAGACCTTGGAAAGTCACTCAAACAACAACCAAAGAGACACAACAGATGCCTGTATTAAAGATACAACTACAGAACCTTCAGTTGGAAAGAATTTGGAAAGTCTCTCAAACAACAATGAAAAAGACACCACAGATGCCTGTAGTAAAGACTCAACTACAGAGCCTTCAGTTGGAAAGACTTTGGAAAGTCACTCAAACAACAATCAACAAGACAACACAGATGACAGTTGTAAAGACTCAACAGAAACAATATTATTTAGCTCTGTGAAGGAAGAGGAGGAAAAAGGAAACATTGAAGAATCTGTCCTGCTTCTAGATACTGTGGAAAAAGTTGAAGCAAATTTCAACAATGAAGGAGCACCTGCTCATACAGATAGTAGCAGTCTCTGTGGGCAAGATGGCTCTTCACCACCTCCCAATTCTGGGGAAGAAACTATGCATAATGTTACTACAGGAATACTCGCTCATGATTGTGGTATGGTGCTTTCTGATAAATTTCAAATACCACAAAACAAAGGCAGCATGGTGTGTGATGAAGGAAATGTAAAGCAGGGTGATTCTTCCCAAAAAGACCTGGTAGAAAGAAATGCATCTGTTGACAGTTTAATGTGTGAAGAAAAATATGCTTCACAGTATGCAGAAGAGATTAATTTCCTACATGATGCTGAAGATGAAGTCTTATCACAGAACAACGAAGGCTTATCCCCTGAAGAAAAAACAGTATCATGGGGTGCAGAGCATATTTCTCCTTTTAATAGCCCAGATAAACAAGTTATGTTACATTCCAGTGACAGTTCATCTTGTGTAGAACATAGTGGATCTCAGGATGAACAAAATTCATCACAAAACGGCCCAAAAGATCCAAGCCCAGCTGGCTGTGATACTGTGACATTTGAAACATCATCTGAAAATGAAGTAGCAATATTAGACAACAGTAATGAAGTTGTATGCTCAGAAAACTCTGTAGAAGATGAAGAAAAGAAAGATGGAGTACAATATGATGAAGTTGGTGTTGACGTTTCAGATTTACATATTAGCAGTAAATCAACATCAAATGACTTCATTCAAAATCCAGATGCCTTTAAAAGGGAAAAACATGAAATTGAAGGCCAACGCCATAGCGCAAACAAGGAAGGCAAAGGTTCTGAATTAACAGCCACAGACAGCCCACAGATTTCATTAAAAACCCCTTCATTTGAAAGACAACCCAGCAGAAACAGTCAAGATGGTAAAAGAACATTCCACCGACAAAACAGCAAAAAGAGCTTAGGTGGAACCAAAGAGAGGTCATCCATGTTCGAACGTCAGAGTAGCAGGAGAAGTCAAGATGGCAGCAGCAGGTGCCCTCCTGGTGTTCTGTCAGCCAATAAAGCAGGAGGTAAAGAGCTCCCTGGTTTGGAAAATGTGACCTTGTACATCCAGGGCCACTCTGATATGGTGCTGGTGCTGCTCATGGATAAGGAAGCAAGGCAGGATTCAGCAACTATGCAAGCTTTGGTGAGACTTTTGATATCACTAAAATGGTTTATGTTAAATGGAAGAGAATAGATTTATCAGACTTTAGAAAGTCAGCAAGTATACTCATGTTTTGAAAAAAAAAAAATAAATAAATGAAATAAATAAAAACTAAAAACATTCTAAGGGCATATTAAAAGAACAATTTTTAAAACCTTTTGGTTATCTGTATTAGCACATTAAATGTTAGAAATGTGAATATTTGGTGCTAACATCTGTTATGCATGATATGGTTTTCTAATTTTGCTTAGTGGAAATATGCCCTTCCTCATTTGGCAGACCTTGAAGTGCAGTTAAAGGGGTGTGTCAAAGATGCTCCTAGACCAGTGAGTAAACTAAGCTTTAGGTTACAAGACTGAGTTTTTTTTTTCTTTGCAATTATTTTTTCCTAACTTTCTCTTGCCTTCTTTGGAATACAAAGGAAAGTTTTTCAAATAGAAATGCATGTTACAAGGGTCTAATGTGGGATGCAAGTATGGAGTGCTAAATCAGAAAGATTAGGAATGTAAAATGTCCCTTTATAGGTTTCTTATCACTCTTTTAGTATCTTCTACAAGCAGGGGCGGATTTAGGCCGTCTTCTGGGTCTTCCGGAAGACGGTCAGATTTTCAAGTTTACATTGTTTACATCCATTTTTTCCTGTTGGAAGACGGTCAAAATTGGAGGATGAATCAACAAAGATAATTTGGAAGACTGTCAGTAAATAGCTCTGGATCCGCCCCTGACAAGTGATTTTTTTTTTCAGATTTCTGATGGCACCTATAATTTCCTGAGGTATGATTCATTTCAAAGAAGTCTCAAAGGTAAGCAGTACTTAAAATATCTTAAGAAAAGCATTGCAACAATTTTATGATGATCTTTAGATTTTGTACTCGTTATTTAAAGCAATGTAAGATTTCCTGAAATCATAAATTGTTGAGAAAAAGTAAACACCAGTCAATTGAATTTAGAGACATTATGTTTTTCTTGTTTTTCTTTCAGGTACCATAGTGAACCCAGTGTCAAGCCTTGAGAATGAATTTTATGATGGCGCTTGCCTTATGCACGAAGAATTTCAGAAGTCTGGGACAGTGAGAGATATAACCCTGAGGTATATATACATAATGCGCCATGCCCTTTAGAATAAGATTTTATATATTTTTGTAATAATTTTTAAATTACACGTAACAGGTAAAAAAATAGAATATATCAGTAATAAAATCAAATTTTTAAGGTACATGGGATTTGAACAGGACATTACCAAAAACAAATCATCTTTCTTTGAAATATGTTTGTTGAAAACGTTTAATAATTGTGATTATTTATTTCTTCTACCTTCATTCTGTCTTTATTTCAGGAATCAAACCTGCTGTATATATGGCCACCAGAATATCAATGATGAGACATACTTCCAAATGCTGAATGTTCCACGAGGTATGCAGTGGGGGGTAGACCCCATGGCTGTTATAGAGGTCAAGGCCAAGAAAGTTCTTCACCAGGATCACAACATATGCCTCTTGTGATGTTTTAAAATTCTGAAAAAAAATAATTCTGTGGAGATTTTACTTCTTTTTTGTAGAAAGTGACAAATTCTGATATTCATTACCTTGAACCTTTGGCAGTAATCAAGCCAGTGACTTTTGTGTGAAATATTAGTAAATATCAGTTTGTGATTCAGAGAAAGTAACAAACATGCAGGCAGAAAAAAATTCAAAAGGATATTGAGTGTAAGGATTATTTGGCACTATTAAACTTGTATACAACGTAATATTATGTAGTAAACACATGTGATTGGGTGAGCATATAAATGTTTAAAAATTACATATAGATATTGGTAGATATATGCACATTCAGTAACTGATTTTGTGAGAATGCAGCAAATATTAATATTGAGGAAAGGATTTGATTGGATCCTATCCACATCCCCCATACCAGATTTGTTTATCATATCTGAACTTATGACTAATGCTCAATGCAGTGATCTAATTATTGTCAAAGAAATGTTCAATTTTCTTTGAAATGTGAGAACTAGTTTAGACATGATTTGTCCACATTTTCCCCACTTTCAGCAACAGTATTCTGGCTGCATTGAAATGGCATGTGCACTTTAAGGGTTCGGTTAAGTGGATCTACATTACATGGTTTGTAGCTTATTATCAGATTTATTTTCTTGAAGGGCAAGTACAGGGAGCTTTGAAACTTGTTTTCTTGGTGTTATGGTCATTTTCTTTTTTTTAGTTGAAATGTGCTCTCAGGATAGCAGATATGGGGTTTGCTTAAAATTGATACAGCCAAGATGGTCTGTAGATCATGGAATCTTTTTCTCAAATCTTAATCAAAGCTATTTCTGCTGCAGGTCATATTAAATGTAGACCATGTGAACTTTTTTTATTTCTATGGCAGTCTGAAATAAGTACTTCTGACTCAACAATCCTTTATGATCCTGTTTGTAATTTCATACTTAAAGATTAGTTCATATCCTTGTTGTTTAATGTCTTTTATGGTACATACATAATTAGATTTGTAGCAAGATGTCACTTTTTGAGAGCTGCAACAGCCCTAGCAGTGTTTATCACAATCTGAGAAGACTCGCAAACACATTTGATTTTATTGAGTTCACATCATCTCAAATTGGTGTTTGAATAACTGGATGCTGCTCAGCATTAGTGTCAGAATTATTTTTATAGTTTTTTTAAGAGAAGTAAATTTTTTGTTAACAATAGTAAAAAGCTCAAGCTGGTTTTCATTATCAGGATATTTATTCCTTTTTGACATTTTTCTTATTTGCTTGATTATTACAATCACACATATATTTATCTTTTAACTTAAAGATGTGAAGGTTCATCTACTACTTAATTTACAATCATTTATTTTTGTACTTGGTGATAAAATTGATCATGAACACCAAAATGTATAATATTCTGCTATAAATTGCTGTCGCAGTTTTAAGGTGAAGGGCACTAGTACTAGGTTTTGTACCACATAAAGGAACACATCTGCTAATAGAAAGCTAAAGCTAAAAAAAAACCCTGTTCATTTTGTACATGCAAATGGAAAGGTTCAATTTCATCCAATAAGGTTATTTTATCAATAAACACTACATTATTGTGTATATTTCAAAGTATATTTTAAAGGCATTATATCTTAATTGCAAAGTTGGTTGTTTCTGAAGCAAAACGAAAAACCACACAAATGTGATGGTACAAGTAACAAGTTTATGGTCCCAAGGACATTCAATATACATAAAGTTCCTGCAAAATATCAAAATAAATTGTGTAATATTATCTCAAGCTAAAACAATGTGTTACAGAGGACAACACGTTTACAAATTTTAACAGGTTTGTAAATTTTCCTCATCTAACATTATTATATATTATATACAATAAAACTTGTAAAACACAAAACTGTCAATAGTTAAGAGAGGAAGAAGGCATCCATTGCTGCAAATAATAATGCAGATGCAACCTTTTCATTCTTACAATATATCATTTCAATTCCACCTACCAATATCAGAGGATTCCTAATTATTAAGGTAAGTTGCTTTGTACAGAAAAATATGCAACACTTCAGTGACTTTTCTGTAATCTTAAACAGAGTTGTAGCAACTCTAGTTAAGTCTAATGCGGACATTTGGGAACAGATCTGACACCAACTCTGGCTTCTCTTTCTTTAACTCTTCATATATGCATCTCATTCTAACACCCTGTTCAAATACAGTTTGTGCCATACGCAGCGCTTTATAGTTCTCAGGATAACCTTTAGTATACATTAGGGCAAGGTTACCATATTCATCAAAGCAAGGCGACCCAGATGCCCCATGCATAAAACTGGACTTCATTAACTGTCGGTTGCGATCATGTGCATTTGTAAAACTGGCAGAAGGGTAGGTTTTCAATGTTAAATCTATGTCTTTTTTAACATCGAAATCGCTAAGTATTTTTGTATCTGGGTCATATCTTAATGGATCACAATTGTTATGTCCTACAATACAAACATCCTTTCCTGGCTCGACATCTGCTATATCACAGTCCAGATCTGGTACAACATCATGGCCGTCTGGGTTGTGAATGTGGAACAAAGCTGCATCCAATGCTACACTGTACCATGCCATGTGGGTAAATTTGTATGTTGTTATTCTTGAAGTTTCTTGCAAATATCCAAATTCCACTATGGCTCCTTGGTAACCTGTAGAGCAGGAAAAAATGAAGTAAATGCAATATTCCCCCAGCCCTCACCCCAGATTTAATAGCATAATGTCAACATACTTTAATGTGTATTTCTGAAGATATCACAATAAACTTAAAATAAAAGCCTGTTCTCAATTTTTGCAAATACTACAAAGCACCCTTATAAAATGTTTTGATATGCAACAGTAAACAATCATAAATTTATATACACCTTTAGTACAATTAGACCTTTGAATCACACCTTAGCTTGCTAGCATTCTCACTTTACCTCTGAAATCGTTAGCAACATGATAATTTGTCATCAAATAATTTCCACCTATTTTGAAGCCTGTGGCAACCCCATGTTTTTTGTCATGTATATCTATGGCTTGAATTAGGCCAACTGATTTCCAATGCTTGTCTATTTTAGAATTGATCAACTTGACAAGTGAAACCACTGGGTAACTGAGATCAAAGAGCTTGGTAAAATTTCCATCACAGTGTAAGTTCTCTAAAAAGAAATTAGTGACACATATTACACTTAAAGGCAAATGAGAAAATCATCTCCATGATTTGTTTCATTGTACTGCTAGATACTGTTTACTTCTAATGGATTCGGGTTAAAAAGATATTTGGATTCATTCAATTTTTTTATTTTGACTTGGTGAAAAGCATTTTAAAATGATGTAATCTTTGCGTGTTTGAGATGAGAGAATGTCAAACAAATAAACATATTACGTGTTTCAAATTTGACTTCCTTCATATGCAACATGCACCAAATGTTCTTGTTATCCTTTGTGCATCCATCTATGCAGTGAGTACAAAGGAACTTGCATCCACAGTTAAGCCGACTGTTGACTGAAATAGAAAATACACAAGATTTATACAAATCTTTCAGTCAAGTTAATTTTGAATCATCATACTCTTCTCAAACATATGCAATAAACGTATCATTTATTCAACCCCTTCTCACCCAATGAGTCTTTGTGGTTTATAGCTATAGTATAGTGCTACATACCCAGCAGATTACAAACAGATTACAAACCTGCTTGATGTACCAAACAGTACAGACATTTCTCAGACTGAATTGGTTGACCACCAGTGCCTCCATATACAGGTGCATCTTCACCAACAGCACACTATAAGATCAAACATTGTCTATGATTATCAGTGGATAAGTGCGTTTTTTTATCTAAAAACTATCTCAATCTAGAAAATTGAAACTCGACTTATTATCATGAAAGTAAAGCTTGTTTGATTTTATAGAACAACTAGTTTTAGACGAAGTAACAAAAAGAGTTTCGTGTGCAAATGCACCGACTTGTAAAACTGTTGTAACAGATCAAGTGATACCTAGTTTAATAAATCTAGTAAATAAACTTAATTGGTCAATATAAATTACTTGCCATGTAAAGCTTCAACAATGCATCATACAGATTTCCCACTTTGATTCTTTTCACAGGTTTTCCCTTTTTGCACTTCTTAATGAGTCTGGCAAATTCTGTGCTTATTTCTCTGGGCCACCCCTGCAATAGAAAGTATTGTTTGTCTGTATCAAAAAACCAGACCTGTCAACTGTCCTGATCCAGATTTGTGACTTCAACATAACCTCATGATTCAAAACCAAAAAGTGTGAGATTGCAAAATGATTTTCAGTGATTGTTGCAATTCTTTAACATATTCTGTAGCCAATTCTGGTATATACAGGTATATTTTAACAAATCTTACAATATTTTTTAATGAAGTCATGTAAATTACATTCTTCACACTTGAATCAAAAGCAATACTATTTTTCATTCATCTTCAAAATGGCCTCATAAAATAAGTTGTTCATAAAAAGAGTTATCTATGCATCCAGAAATTAGATTATTTTAATTGGGGAGAGGAGACATTGTTTGCATTTGTCTTCCCATTATGGCAACTTGATTAAACTTAACTAATAGCTTTTGGACTAAGGAAAAAAGTTTATGAATGCCAAGTGCTAACAGTTATGGAAATAAACTTGCACCTAAACATGAATGTCCCTATGTCTTATCCATTATATTTTATTATTACATCTGACTTATCTCTAAGTCAAAAAATAAATACTTACTTGTTGTACCCCCCTTTCTATCAAAATCTCTTCCTCCTCACCAGAATTATTCCAGGAGAGATGAAGAGAAACTGAGCTACCTTTATCAGGGTCAGGATCAGAGGCAAGAACACCCGTCAACAATTCCTCCAGCACTTGAAAGAATATTTCATACATAAAATATACTGAAAGTTATATTTCAGTTATTCTTTCCACTGAAAAGACATAAATCTTCACTAACAATGAAACATGCATATACTTCTTATCAGTAAAGTAAAGATGTAGAAAAAACTTATGAAAGTTATTTAGATAGAAAAAGATGTACTCAACCCCTGATACCAAGCTTAAAACAGTTCAGTTTTACTGGCATCAATTACCTATTCCAATACTGTAACAGTCAGTAGTCTCTGTTATAAGCCCTTCATGAAGTTTTGGGTCTGTATAACCAGCAGCAAAAGGAATAGCTAGAAATAATAATAATAATAATAATAATAATAATAATAATAATAAGAGTCTTATAGTATAATAAATGTCTTACCTAGTAAAATTGTACAGACATCTCAGATGCTATTATAAAATAATAGTTGTGTAATTGTAACACAATGTTTGAAGTACAGAAATCCCATGTAAGTACACCAAGAATAATTAACTCTGATATAAAGCACCATTAAACTAGAGATGTTTTATCTTACTTTTGGTAATTGTGGTCTTTTTAAACTTCAGTGAATACATCTTTGCAAAGCCCATATCTCCAAGCCTGATGTTTTCATGCTCATCCAGGAATATGTTTGAAGATTTGATGTCTTTATGAACTATGCAATTGGTTCTGAAATACCAAACAAACATATACAGCACCATGAATATGAATAATAAAATAATAAAAAATAAAAAAAATGCTCAAAGAACATCATATAAAGTGATGTCTTTACCTACAATCTCTTCTTTTAAGAAATTACCTGAAAAATAACCTTTTTGCGGGATCGCTTTCAATCACCACACTAAACCTAAATCGAAGTCAAGAAAAAAATGTACTTAACAGAGCAAGAGTTTGGTGTTTGTTTAAAGCAGGAATGTATAAGGACAACTGGACTACAATAGATACGCCTCACTGCACCTGATACTCCTTTTCACTTTTTCAGATGCCCCTTACTCAATAAAATTAATAACCTGCCCTTTACAAAAAATAAATAAATAAATAAATAAATAAATAAATAAATAAATAAATAAATAAATAAATAATAATAATAAATAAACAAATATTGCAGGGAAATAAGGTCTCTTTTAAAAGGCCAAAGAAAAGCTGTTATTGCTTCTTCATGGCCATAAATCTTTAACTGTCAGACAAAATAAAGGATCCTTGTTACCATTTCTATGTTCCTACTTGACAATTTTGAAATTACTTAAACAGTACCTAATATTTTTTTTATAAACATATTTTTAAAAAATTTCTTTAGTTTTTTGTGTGTAAATAATATTACTAATTTATTCCCTGTTTAATCATCAATCAGCTTAATCATTAATTAGCCCTATGTTCATTTGTCAAGATATATATAGATATATGTGTGTGTGCCGAGGACTATAGACATTAAGGGTTGCATGGTTGTGTTTTTACTTTCACTTTATACTCTCAGGCAACCAAATCTTGGCCAGCAGTTGCTCAACAATGCAACATTCGATTTTGAATATTTTTAATTTATTGTATGTTTTATAGTCTGATTTATGGCACTGGCTCCTCTTGATAACGTGTGCAGTAGTTTGTTGTGTTAATAGCAATAAAATTATATGCAATGTTTGATGTAATCTCTTTTGGTAAAAAACAAGGAAATTGTCATAACCTTTTATTTGGATTTTTTAATCGGGAAGAGACAGAAGAGACAGGGAAGTGCTTGGTCTAGTCGGCGAGGACCCTCAGGATAAATCAAGTTGGGGAGGAAGACTGCCTGTCAGACTGGCCCCACCCTCTGTTGAGGATTAATCCCGGCCAGTATAAAATAAACTCAGATGATGATGATGATGGAGTATCAGTTAAAAATAACAAGTATTTCACTGCATGCTTGGTAAGTCCCCTTCCCCTGGAGCAATTTAAAATATCAGGTTCAGCAACCAAACCACTGGACCTGGTTGTGTTTAGTAGCAACTGGCTACAAAAATTAATGTCAAGCCCCGGAGTGTGTGTTTAATTTGTAATTTTCATGGTCTTCATGGAGAATATATTATGCTTTTAGCGCTCTGCCTAAATTTATCTTGGATAAACTGTGTTAAAAAGATAGTTACGTCACTGACAAATGTTCAAGTTTATGGGTATCATTTAGTCAGAAAAGCAAATAAAACTTACTTGTCATCAGACTGAAGAAATTTCACTGCATCAGCCAACTGGACACTCATACGTAGGCGAGTTTTCCAGTCCAAACTTTTACCACTTATCTTCGATTCCTCAAGTCGATCTTTTAAAGTTCCCCCTTTCATATAAACTGTCATCACTGCCTTGGAGTACTTACTGAAAAAAAAAATACCTTGTTGGTTATTAAGTTTGACCAAATTTATAATAAAGAGAAGCAATTTGAAAAAAAATAATACATTACAATAATCTCATTCAATACTTCCGGTATATGTACATTTAGGCCAGTATTCAAATTATCAAAAGCAAGAATTGAAATGGAATTATAAATAAAAATTATCACAAAATTTTAAGGAACAACAGTCAGTCATTAAAAGGCCCACAGTAACCCCAGCAGGTTTCAGCTTAAACAACACATTGCCTGGAAAATAAGTGTCCAAAACAGAGAAAAAATAATTGGTTAATAAAAACCCAAGACGGTTAATAAAAACCCAAGACTAGTCTGAAGACCCACTTCGCCTGCATTTTAGCCAGCAAATGGTAATGGCCAATATGTACAGCCACTACTCTGTCTGCACATAAAATTGCCTTGATTTTATTTCAGTTTGGTTGACCTGAAGACTGGAAATTTCAGAACCAAACAAAACATGATCAGTACAGGACATGAGTATTCCCTAATTCTTTATAAAATAAAAATAAACAGGTTGCTCAATCACATATTGTGGGTGAAAGCATGCCAGAGAAGATTGCTTTATAAAAATCTACTTTTTTGTTCATTTTCCAATTTCTAAATCAATAATGAAAAAATGATGTAAAAGGACACAACTTGAGAACAATTTTTTAATCTTTAAAATGATCCCACACTGATGTGGATAAAAAATGTTTCTTTATATAAATACTTACCCTTCTAATTGCTCACAAATTCCAAGAGCAGTCAGAAGATAAACATACTTTTTCTTAGCCCAATCCCTTTCCTAGAACAATACCAGTGCAACAAAACAAATCAAAAAACATTTTACATGAAATATAACAATGGCACAGCTAGCAAAAATACTATCATAAATAATATAATTACCCTTAATGAATTTGAATGAAAAAATTTTATCAACTTCTTTTTCTGTAACAGATATTCACATTTACTTTTTAAAATATTTTAAAAAATGCACTTACCCTGTCAAATTCCAGTGTTCCTTGATAATCATTGTTATCAGCAAGTCTCTTAACTGCAACTTCCAATCCATGTATTTGCTCAAGGTTTAAAACACCTGGAGCAATGAAAAAAATTATAGATTTGCATTGAGGTGAGCACATATTAACCATATACTGATACTTAGTATCATAGCTCTAAAACATATCAAATTTTTTTCCTTATCATCACTTTGTATTCAGTAACAAACTTGTTTACTAGTATCACTGACAGTTAATTTTCAAGACCATTTGCCTCACATCGCTGAAATTATCTTTAACAATTTTTGTCAATAAATGTATAATTTTTTTCAATGAAAAAAAAAGTTTAATTTTTAATAAAATGCACTTTTCTGTTTCATTATACTGGAAAAAAATAAATTAGGATGACATAATGAACACATTTTCTCTCTTGACACAAAAAAATGCAACCTACCCTTGTGCACTACACCAAACCCACACTTTTCTTCAGAGGCAATTTCTTCAGAAAAACAGTTAGTGACCAAATCCAAGTCCTTTTCACTGAATTCATAAGCATTGATAGCTTGGTTGAATTTTGGTTTTGGCTTGCTCTCAATGTCTGGTGCAGAAACAGAAGATGTTTGCCCGTTTCCTGCCTTTTCTGCCTCTAATACACCTGTTATTTGGGAGATAAAGGCTGTTCCACTACTATCCGTTGTTTCCATTTCCATTGGGCCAGAGAAGCTGGTTGACTTCAAGTCTGTCTGTAATCTTTTTAGATCTTGTATATGATAAAAATAAAGAAAACACTTGAGATTAAAAAGAATTCAACTCAAAATCAGAAAGATGAATAGATGCCCAATCTTAGTGAAAATAAAAGAGACAAAGGAATGATGCTACACAATCCTTATTTTCATCATAGTTAGAATGTGCGCTCAAACACCTCAAACTTTAGAACATCATAACACTTCTTTCACATCTCAAAATGTACCTTAAATAAAATTGCATAATAAAAATGTTAACCTGTTTCATTTGCCATTTCAAGACTCTGATAATAATTTTCATGGTAACGACCAAGCATGAGAGGTTCCCCATCAGCATTTTCGTTAAAAATAGTTTGTAAGACACCATATTTTGCCCCTGGAGAACTGGATACTATAAGCAATTTACGCCCTACGGCCTTAGCAGTTGCATCAACGGTTAGTTCATCAGCCCAAGCTCCATCCTGAGCCATCCTGCTGAGGTATGCTGGCCAGTCAGAATCACCAATATGTTGTGCATACTTTTGTTGGTAGAGCTGGAAAGGACAATCAAGATGAGTTAAGTTTCATGTGCCATCACAAAAAAAAAAAAAAAAAAAAAAAAAAAAATTTTAATAATAATAATAATAATAATAGAATAAATAAATAAAAATTAATTAATTAATTGATAAAATGAATTAAAAAAAAAACAAGGCAGCAAAGCTGCCAAATGTACAGACAAAAAGCAGAAAATAATAATGCACAAAATAGGCTACTGTCAATTCTGATGCAAAAGTACATTAAGTTAAACTGCAAATTCAACATCAAATTTTAATTATGCACAACAGGTAATACCAATGTAAGTAAAATGTGTAACAAGCATAAGGCTTCAGGCCCTTGGGGCTTTAAGTTCACACTTTGAAAATGCCAGAATGAGAAAAATTGAAAATTTCACGCACAATTGCATAAATTCAATAATAAATAATAACCCAATTGAGCTGGCTTTCTAATTTGAACTGCATGCCAATCTTAAAAATCATGCTTGTAAGTTAAAAATAATAATAAGTAACACAGTTTTCCTTTCATAATGCTTTTCCAACTCAGGCTGCATTTAAGTCCTGTGTCTCTTCTTTTGAAAGTTTGACAATCATAAGTAACATGGTTTTTCCATAATGGTCATCATGGCAGCAGCACCCAAAATTGTGTTTTCTTCTATTTTGATGCAATATAACATAATGTTTAACAGCATAATGACCATCATTTTTTAATAATAAAATATATTTATCATTGATTTTCAGAAAATTTGACTAGCATGAGTCTTCAAGCCCGTGGAGGTTCTAAGTCACACCTTGAAGATGCCAATATGTGAAAAATTTAATTTTCACAAAAAACTGTTTAACTACCAGAAAAAATTTACCAAACAGACTGCATTGCCTACTGAACTTTGAGAACAGTAAGTGAAATGTTTTTTCTTAAATGGTCATCATGGGAGCAGTGCCCAAAATAGGGGTTTATTCAAATTTTGATGCAACATAACATTTATTTAACAGCATTATGACTATCAATTTTAATAATAAAATATTAGTATCATGGACATCCAGAAAATGTGACTAGTAAAGGTCTTCAGGCCCATGGAACTTCAAAGTCACACCTTGAAAATGCCAAAATATAAACAAGACAGCACTGTTCTGAAATGTTTTTTATTTCATTTTTAACAATTTTTTAACATAAAACAAAATTAACAGTTTACTGCCATTTTTATATGATCAACTAAGAAAATTGATGCTATGGGAAAAATATCAATAGAACAGTGTTAAATGTCCAATTTCTTCCATTCTTGTATTCTGAACATAGTGAATGACTGAATCTGACAAACTGCAATGATATGAGTTTAATTCCATTTTTGAAACTTTAATACACAATACACGATAACAAGTTTACCATCATTTTTACAAAATCAAGTAACAATGTTGTAAAGATGCAGGAAATGTCAAACAAACACTTTTACGTATCTAATTAATTAAATGAGACTGTTAACATGCCTAAGAATTGAATCTGAGGAAATGTGAAAAAACAGCATAACTTTTAAAATAATTTAAAAAAATAAAAATTATAATAATAATTATGCGTTATGCTGATTTTCAAACTCAACTTGCGTTTTAGGATTGACCACTCCTGTGAATTTAATGCTAATTGGCCAATCTGTTTTTCTTATATTGTGTTAACAGTGTTGCATATATGCTGAAAAGTGAAAAAAAAAACAAAAAAAAACGCATAACTACTAAAATAATGGCCTGATCATGCCGATTTTCGATCTTGATCTGTGTTTTAGTAAGACTGATTACTCCTGTGAGTTTCATGACAACAAGCCTATCGGTTTTCCTTGAAATGTGTTTACAATGTTGCAAATATGTTGAAAAGTGAAAAAACAGCATAGCTTCTACAATAATAAGCTGATCATGCTGATTTTTTAACTTGACCTGCATTTTATGAATATTCATCAGCTCTTTAAATATTAAGTCAAAAAGTAAAACTGCCTTCCACTTATGGTGTTTACGCTGAAAGTGCACAGCGACAGCGACGACGGCTACAACAGACGCAGGTGACGGCAATATGTACAGACACATCTGTGTCTGTACATAAAAATGACCATAAATAGAAAAGTTTCTGTATGTAAAGTAGCACAGATAAATTATTGCTCCAAGGACATTTATAGAGTTATTATGCACTGATCTTCCCATCAGTATCAGACCAACATTTGAATTCTAACTATATTGCCTCCTGACTTTCAACCTTGGCTAATACATATTACAACTCTTAGGAGAACTTCATTTAGGTGTATTATTATGTTTTGAGGCAGGGAAATTAAAGATAATGAAAATGAAGGGTTACATCGATTTTGTTGTGTTTTAAGCTACTGTACACAATTGTGACCATGTGTATGATCATTTACATACGAGCAATGAAACTTATAATTGCAGATTGTACTTATGGGCTTCAATTTGTTATACTTTTGCTTGGACTCAGAATATCTGGTACAGGTGTGGCAAGATATGCACTTTTTAAGTCCATTTAGACCGTGTGAAGTAATATTTTTTTGACTGAAATACATTTTCTGGTTTTCTTAATTAAGAATGATTACCTGTAGATAACGGACAACTAGTTTTCTGATTTCGCTATGCGTAATTCCTTGCTGAAGTCCTAGTCGAACGTACTGATCTGCTACAGCATGAAAGAAACAGTTTCCATCCATAGGTGTTTCTCCACGGAAAGACATGCCATGGGCTTTTATACTTAACAGCAGCTTTTCTCTCAAATCTTTTATTCTTGGGCCTTCTGCCAAAATCTGGAATGTTTGTCCAATGCGCTCTGTTTCCATTTCCTCTCTTATATCCCGCTGTGGAAACTTCACAGCAGGAGATCCAACCAGCCCAACTGGCTTTCTCTTAACTGCACCTGGGGGAGATGCCATCTGCATGGGTTCTATGGGCAGCTCCCGCTGGTAGATGGTTTCACGACCAGAATCTCCAGACCCATAATGATGATGGACACTTATTGTATTGGCATTATAGAAATGCCCTGCCTTTGAATCAGGAGCAGTCATTGGGTATGTATAAGGTGTTTCCTTTTTAACACCTGGAATGCTCACTGGAATCTGTGGAGCAGAGTTCTTTGACGTCTCTATAAATATAAAACTTCAATCACCTTACAAATAACACTTAAAGTATGTCAAGATATTTCAATCCTTCAAATGCTATGTTCATTACCTATATGTTTGCAACTCAGAGGCATCTACTCGTAGATTAATTATTTAATATCTAAGAATATTGATATCAGCTGACAGGATACAAAAATACAAAAATAGAAAAAATTACAAAAATACAAAATAGTTTTAGAATTAGAATAAATGCAACATTAATAAATATACAGTGCATACCAAGTAAGTCAGCCAAATGGTCTTGGCTCGTTTCTCTCAAAGCTGTAATGAACTTGTCCAAAAAATCTGGACCTTTGGTTATGATGAAATCCAGTACTTTCTCAGCTTTGTCATGCCTGGTTTTCTCTGCCTAGAGGTACATCATCACAAAAATATCATAACTTTAATGGTATACATAAGCATCATGTGCATAATATTTGGTACACTGTACAAGGAATTACAACTGAAAAAATGTCTTATACCCCATTTCCATAGATTAGATCGACCTACTTTAGATTGACCTAACTCCCTGGGGGTTCACGCTAAATAGCTGTCAGCCGGGTGAACACGAAAGTTAATTACCCCCTTACAGCTTGTAGTAGGCGGGATGGACATTTAAGTCGGATTATCTGAAAGTAATCTAGTGAGACTCCCCGCGGGGATAGATCGATCTAAAATCTATGGGAATAGAGCCTTAAAAAGAGATAGTGATCAATGAATACTACTGAGTATTAGTAAGCTTAGGTCTTTTTAAAATTGTACGTGTAAACTTCATTTGATACAGGGTTTTCTTGCCTTTGTCCAACAAAAAGTACCATTTTGGGAAACCCCCAAGTGGGGTAGGTGGCTGTACAGTACTTTGACAAGAGGATTTACTAAACTGGTTCCGTCTGATATCTCAATACAGAGGTTTAGAGTGAATTTTTGCATTGAATGATATCATCACTCAGCTGCCCTATGTTAGAGAAGGTAAAAATCTAGTTGAAAGCAAGTAAACCC